AATTGCGTGGTACTACTACATCTATGATTACAACAAGTACCGTAGAGATCGACAACACTCAGGGTGCCGCGTCGCAGAACCTCGCGCAGACCATGCTGGCCAACATCAACGCACACAAGCTGTCGCCGTCCTTCAAGCTGTACGAGTACAGCACGCACGACACGATGCTGGCGCCGCTCGCCGTCACCCTCGGTGACCACAGCGAACTCACAATGCGCGCCCCGTACGCCGTCACCATTATCGTGGAGCTGCTGCAGGACACGGAGTCGCCCAACGACTGGTACGTGCGTCCGGTGCGCGGCAGCCCGACACGGCAGGCCAACGGCAGCTACGTGTTCCAACTCATGAATCTGGAGGTGCACTGCATCGACGCTGCCGGCAACCAGTACCTGGCGACAACCGGCATCTGTCCGCTCGACGGCTTCCGCCGCATGGTGGACTACTCCCGCCCCTCCGTCCCCAACGGGCAGTGCACCTTGGCGCAGAACCAGTATGATAACATGGGATGCCCGCGCACCGTTGCGGATGGCAAGCCGGTTCAGGGCTACTGTTGGATGTACCGCTATGTATGCCCTCAGACCGCCTGCCCTGATGGGAACGTCCTGGGTCGCGAGGACCTCCAGTGCTACCCGACTGGCGGCAACACATCCTAGCGTGCTCAAGCGAGCGCCTAAGAGAGCTGTATGTTGGTTTGCGTAGTTTCACACGTGCATTGTAGACAGCTGCTAGTGCGGAACGGCTTACACAGCTGGGCTCGTGTGCCGCGTGTTGGCACCATGAACGGCAGACAGGCTCGCTGTGCTGCGCGCATCACCCCGACATCGATCATAATTCAAAACGGTTTGTTTAATTAGTTCTTCTCTTTCCATTATTATTGGCTGACATAGTTCCCGTTTCTTTAACTTTGTTCTTGCTGTGGCTGCAGAGAACACTAAACGAACTCCATTGGAGAGTGTTTTGTTTCTGTTCTCACCCCGATACCGTATGTTGCCACACACGAGCGCAGCCACACCCTCGATCGTGACCAGCTCCCTACCAGAAGAGTGAAGCCTGATCTGCTGGGCTCTCTCAGCAGCACAGCAGCACACACGTTTGCGCTCTGAAGGAGAGCTAAGAGCACGGATGGATAGGTAGGCTGAGCTTCGACGTCTGCGGTGTACTCCTCGCCAGTCAACTCCGTTTTGACTGAGGGTGTCTGGCTGCTTCTGAGAACGTCTTCAGAGGCATTGCACCTTTGTGACGACTACCTTTTTTTTTCTTTTATGTTTCATACGATATTTTTTGTTGGTCAATTGAAGCGTGCAGGTGTATCCGTAAGAGTTTGGATCGACCACTGTAACCTCAAAACGCATTTTTTTGTCTCCCTCTTTCCTGACGCTACTACTTCTTTACCCGACCAACATGCATCTAATTCATCGTTTTTTTTTTTTGTAATTGTTTCTTCTTTTGTAAGTCGTAAAACGAGTGTGATGCGATTATCATCTTTTCCTCACTTGTTGCCGACGTTGAGGAGGTGGAACTCGACAGCTTGATTCCGTTTGCCGTGGGTAGAGCTGTGGTTGTGAATGTATTTCCTGGTCACTCTCTTCCCCGCGACTCTCGAGGTCATCAGGGCGTCTTGGAAATGAGTGAGTTTAATGGTATGCTTCGGATTTCGTCCAAATCTGCGCACAACTGCGTGGCTGCTTCGTATGCAACGCTTGAGGAGTAGAGAAGATGGCGCGTCATTCAGTCACACGACTCGTTATCTTTCTTTTGTTGTTTTTAACTGTTTCCTGTCTTGTTCCTCTCTCATATGTAGTTTCTACCTTGTTAAGTTGTTTTTTGTTTTTTTTCCATTCGTCTGCCACGTAACTCGAAATGTCAGAGAAATGATTGGTTTTCCTGGTAAGTGGCTCCATTGAGTGAGACTCGAGATAAGCTTTTTACCACCTCCCAGTCCGTCTTCCACGATTGTTATTATTACTGTTAAAACCGACACTTGCACACACCAAAAGGAAAAATATTCGGAAAACGGTGCGGTGTTTCTTTTTTTTTCTCTTCTAATTGTTTTTTTTTTTAATATGAATCAAAAAGTGAATAAAAACAAGCACAATACAGATAGCATGTTAGATAGACGTGGCTTTTGCTTCTTCTTTCTTACGCAGGTTCTTTCTTTATTGCTCCATTAATAAAAGAAAAGAAAAACGTAGAGATCCAATGAAAAGAAAAGGTTTTGCTGGCTTTTGCATTCATTCTATTGATATGGGTCTCCCTGACATCTCTTTGGCAACGTAATGCGTTAAAGTTGCTCGTAATATATATATATGAGTCTCAATACTACTTCTGTGGCCGGCCTCCTCAGTTGTTGAGGTCAGACGAAGCGATTCATCTCTTTCATGTTTTACTGTTCGCGTATGTTATTGTGTTCTCTGTTTCTTCTCTTCCCACTGCGTGAATCTTGTAATTCTAACGTCTTTTTTAAGGTGATGTGGACACGACCGGAAGCCATCGGGCACCCGTCAATTTACACAAAGGGAAGAAGCTGCCGCGCCCAACTGCCATCGATTGCCTCTCAGCGAAATTTGAACTCTTGTTGAGCGCTTCAAATAAGAACACTGATTTCTTGTTTTCTCCCCCTCCCCTCCCATTGCTTGTTGTTGTCGCCATCGTGTAAAATATCTCAATCTGCTATTCAAGTACTTTTGTTTTCCAACTCACATTAGACTATTTGTCACCTTTACAGACGGTGTCTTCTTCTTTTGCTTTTGGAGGTTGGGTGCATCCTTCCCCCCCCCCCCCGCCCGTTGCTGAAACTAAGATGGCGTCTTATGGCATCGACGGTGAGGTAGAGCAGCGTTACCGCGTTCTCCGACACATCGGCAGCGGTGCCTACGGTGTGGTGTGGTGCGCAGTGGACCGCCGAACAGGGCGTCACGTCGCGCTGAAAAAGGTGTATGATGCTTTTGGGAATGTGCAGGATGCCCAGCGCACGTATCGAGAGGTGATGCTGCTGCAGCGACTGCACGGCAATCCATCTGTTGTCGGGCTCCTCAACGTGATTCGAGCCGCAAACGACATTGATCTTTATCTCGTCTTTGAGCTTGTGGAAACCGATCTCACTGCTATCATTCGCAAAAAACTGTTGCAGCGAGACCACAAGCGGTACCTCGCGTATCAGATGCTCAAGACGGTGGCGCAGCTGCACGCGCAAAACATTATCCACCGTGACTTGAAGCCGGCGAACGTTTTTGTGAGCAGCGACTGCAGCATCAAAATTGGTGACTTCGGCCTGGCCCGCACCTTCCGCAGCGGCTTTGACAACGAGCAGGAGTTTTTAGACCTGACCGACTACATCGCCACTCGCTGGTACCGCTCGCCGGAGATTTTAGTCAAGTCCAAGGCGTACTCGACGGCGATGGACATGTGGGCGATGGGGTGCGTCATTGGCGAGATGCTCCTCGGCCACCCGCTCTTTGAAGGCCGCAGCACGTTGGACCAGCTTCGTCTCATCGTGGAGGCCATTGGTGTGCCGAGTGACGCTGATGTACGCAGCCTGCGTTCACCGGAGATTGAAAGGTTGGTCGAGTCGCTACCGATTCCGCTGAGCTTTGCGCCGCTTGTCGAAAACAGAGACTTGAAAGACAGCGAGGCAACGGATCTCATGACTAAGCTGATTGTGTTCAACCCAACGAAGCGACTTACGGCGGTTGAGGCGCTACAACATCCCTACGTCGCACCGTTTGTGAGGCCGGGTGACTTGGAGAAGTTGCAAAACCTCGAGCCGATAGTGCTGCCACTGGTCGATGAACACGTTTATGCCAACGACGAGTACAAGGCAGCGCTGTACAGCGAAGTTAGCACCAAATATCGTCACCACATGACAGACCTGTATTAATGCTCATTAACAGAAAGCAAGCAATGGGACACGAAAACGCATCCTGTTCGGTGACATCTTTTCTGTTCCCTGTTTTTTTTTTTCTTACAAAGGTGCGAATGGAGTTAAGAGAGAGAGGGGGCGTTGTACCTCACTTTTAGAATCAATGGTGTGGTGGACTACGTCAAGGCCTCACAAAAAAGTTTTCGCGACTCGCGACGGAAGAGAAGCGCACTTTCCTTTTCTCTCATCGACTTGCTTCTTTTTTATAATTGAAAGACCCACGCGCAAAAATCTCTTTCGTTTTTGGTCGGTACTGTCGTGTTTTGTGTTCCTGATTGTGTTTGCGTAGAACTCGTTTTCCGCTGTAACAAAGATTATGCTCTGCTGGTGTCTTTTCCTTTTACCTTCCTGTTTGGCTTAGCGTTAGATTGCTGTCACACCTTCCACAGAAAAGAGGAGAAACAAATGCCCAGCACCGCTGCGACTCTTACGAGAGGGATCTTTTGCTCTTTTAAGTTTCCGTGTGATCATCTTCGTTGATCCATGTGCGTTTCTCCACCGTAATGTCTGCAGCGCTTCGCTTCCAGTCACTATTCCGCCCATCGGTGCGGAACTGCACTGAGTGGGAGGGGGAAGCAAGCCCCGTACACAGCAATTTCTAACTGGAATGCGCTTGCTACGCTACCCACTCTCTTCTCATCTCGGTGTCTGCCGTAGCAGGTGGAAAGTGTACTAACAGCTTCTTCTCTTTGTTTTTCGCAAGTGGCCCAGGCTCGATGCGTTGCTCGTTACTGGAGATCGACTCTGTTCTCACCTGAGCGAACTACTGAATTCACAAGTTATTGACGAGATTTCTCATCTTTTTGTGTCTCGTGCATTATGTGCGCCGCTCCCTCACCGCGTCTCTGCGATCAACAGTGGAGAATAGGCCACACAATCGCTGCCGATCCAGTCTCCTCCACCACCAATGAGCAGCTGGTCGCTTTCCTCAAAGAACGGCTGGACCGCTGGGAGATAGAGGCGGCCGAAGTGATTTGTACGTGGGGCCGTGTGGGGGACATGTGTTCGTCCGAGTACCAATCGCAGTTGCGCACCGCACAGGCTACTGTGCAAGAGGGACGACGGGGGGAGGAGCGACAGCGTGGCGAGGCGCGACGAGATGCACAAGCAGCAGCGCGGCGCCGTCACCGCGACCGCCTCGCGGCAGAGGCGCGCAGTCGAGCCGATGCGACGCTCAGAGCCGCAGTGCGCCAGCAGCAGCGGGTGGAGCAACAGCGAAGGGGGCGGGAGAGTGAACGGCCCCCTCCTGCTGCAGCGCAGGTGGCACGACAGCTGTTGGGGGTGCCTGCACAGCGGCAGGAACGAGCGGAGCCGCTTCATACGATGAAAACCGGCTCCGCACGCGGTCATCGGCAGCCGGTACCACCGTGCGTGGTGCGCGCCCCCGCAGCCCAGACGGTGCGCAAACTCGAACTTGAACCGAAGTGTCCTCCGTCAAGGAATTCAGGCACACGGTTCGTGGCGGAGGGCACCGCAGCAAAGGGCGGCGACAACGTCAGCGACGACAGCAGCACGCTCGCCCTCGACTCAGACGGTCACCAAGACACCTCTGCCCACTCCGAACGCAACGCCCCTGACGCCTCCTTAGGGGAGTCACTTTCAGGCACTTTTGTCGTACGACGGCGGCTCTCCGCACACGTCCACTACAAGCAGGCATTGCGGCGCTCCAGCACCCACCTCAGCCCAGCCAAGGCAGGTGACAGCCCACCCCGCGTGGTGTCCACGTCCGCACTTCCCGTTGCCTCGCCCTCCCCGCGCAAAGTCGTGCAGTGGCTGCTGCCCCTCCCGCACCGTCGCTGCTCCTCCTCGAAGACGACCGTTGCCGGCACGACGAACCCTTCTCTGTCGCTCATCGACTCTTCCTTGCCCGTTGCGGCTGATGAAGCGACCGCCATATTCGCGTCCCGCTCGCGCTCGCACGAGAACGCGCCGTCGCCGCAATACCGCCGCAGTGGCAGCGCCTACACGGCCGACGCGACGGCGCAGTTTATCTCCCCTATTAAGGGCACGCACCTCATCGATGATCTTTCTTCGATGTCCTCGGCAGGATCGTACCTACAGGGAGGTGACGGGAGCGCCTGACAAAGCGCGCCGTGAGGAACATCCGCGAAGCCGCGTATGCCTTTAGTAGAACGCGCCTCTGTCCGTCTCCTGTCTTTCTTAGGAAAGGAATGGAAAACAAAAGTCCTCCCCTTTTCTCTCCCCACCGCTGTTGCTCAACTTTGAGCGGGTGTTCCGGTCAACTTACCAGTTGTGCGCATCGTATCGCATCTTCATCTCCCTGCGCACATCAGCGTGCATAAGATCGCTGCCGTTCTCTTTAGATTTTTCCACTTGTGTGTATGACGTCTAACTAATTTTCGCTCTTTTTTCCTTTTCAATTTGCAAAGATATTTTCTTGTTTTTCTTCTTTTTGCCAGGCTGTTGAGAAACGAATGAAACAGATCTTAAAGGCATACGATATGCGTTCACAGAAGTTGAAATGACTTCTCTCAATGTATTCAAATAGGGTGTTAGAATGCTGTTGCTGGACTTGTTTTTCTTTTAGAGAGCTCCACCCATCTTCTTTTTTGATAGCCTTGCCATGCTCTTTGCTATGCGAAGAAAATACAATCCTTTCTTCAGTGAATGCGCTTCTCCCATTCTCCTTTCTACTGGTTTCCTTGCTCCGTTGCTGAGGCGTACCTTCATGTTTCTTTCTTCGCTTCGGTGCTCCGTACTTCACAAAACCTTTTCGGTATCATCTCTTCTAATTCACGTGCGCTTTCGCCTCACGTAGCGCCGAATTTCGGCTTTCATTCTTTCTTTGCGAGGGGTAGAATTAGCTGACTTAGCAGCTTTTGGGACGTCCCTTGTCGTGTAATTATTGCTTATTTTGCCTTTCTGCATCTCTATTTTCCACTGATGCGACATGTCTCTCTGTGAGTGTGTCGTGGATCCAAACATCCTGCTGCTACCTGCTGTGCTCATCTTCCTCTACTTGGGTGGTCTAGTCGTCTCCATCATCAACACGGCTGATTTCTTTCAGAAACGCAAAGATATTTACCCAAGTGCCCTTATTGCGGCTCACCTGTCCTTCTGCGTGATCGGGGGCGTCGCGTTCTTCTGTGTCAGCTCTGTGCTCTGGTTGTGGTCGGCAAAGTATAGCTTCACGCACGCTGAGCGGATGTGGCGCCTGTGTGTTGGGTTGTGGTTTGTCTTCTTCTTCAAAGACCTGCCCCTGGTGATCCTTGAAACGCACGCCTATTTCCAGGTGGGGTGGCAGCATGGCAACTTTATGGACGCTTCCTTCATCTTACAAGTCATCTTCTTCGTTCCGTCGTCCTTGGCGACCTCGGCGACCATCTCGTGGTACGCAGCGGGCTTCTTAGAGCGGCAGTTCGGTGATCCATTGCAGGTCGCAGTGCAGGGGAAGGGAAGTCCTCGGCGGGTGCCGCCGGAGGTAGCGGTGCAGCTGGCCGCCGCCTCCGTGCCTCGCCGCCCTCCGTTGCCGCTACAGGAAATGCGCTACAGTACGGCGCACCCGCCCCGCCTCTCTCTCACGCCGCGTCCCTACATCCGAACCAACGTGCAAGAGATTCCGCACGAGCCGCTGTCAGCGTCGGCGCCTACGAATTACGTCGTGGCGGAGTACAACGACGACTTTGTGCCCAATCAGGGTGGGGTGCGCATTCACTTCCCCGGAAACGCCCTCCGCCTCGTCGAGAGCGAGGAAGACACAGCAGTGTATCCGGCTGTCATATGACATTCTATGTTTAAATGTATTAGCAGCCTTGTTGGCTGTGCGTCGTCTCCTTGTGTCTGCGGCGTGTGTTATTTTCTTTTTGCAAGCCTTTTTTTTTCTTTCTTTTCATGGTGTGTTGGCTATCATATCTGCTGTTATTTGCTTTTCTCTTCTCTTTATTCTTAACTGCTAATTACGTATTGATGCTTCCATTTTTATTTTACTGTTCCCCCTTGATTGTATGGCTGACGATCGGCTCTCTCGCTCGCTCGCACGCTCACACACATGCACCCACATGTGCTTTCTCTCTTCTGTGCACTGAAATGCAGAGAGGTGGAAGCGGGCGTTGTACAATTGTTTCCTCTCGTTTGTTTGCGTTGTTTTTTTTTTCCTTTTGCGTAGGTGTGTAAAGCGTATGTTCTTTCCACAGAGGTTCGCTTTCCAGACGCGAAGACACATAAAAGATACGGAGGATAACCCGCCTCCAATCATTACCAGACGTGACAGCACAGGAGTAGAAACACGCGAAGAAGCACTTGCCCTTCTTTGATGTTGCTGCGTCGCGCTTCCGTTTTCTTGTCATCTACAAAGGGAACCGATCCCTGTCCAGTTGAACGATTTAATATGGGAAAGGCCGTTGCGTACGTCCTCAGCGTGCCACATCGTCATCGCCTTTAAAAGTCTTTATATACTGCTCCCTTAACATCATGAACTCGTCCTTTGACTCTTTATGTTGTCTCTTTGCATTCTTGTTTGTGTGTGTGTGTGCGTTTGGATGTACTCCTACATCCCTTCTGAATACTTGTCTTATGTCCTTCTCAACGCGTAGTACACTGGCGCTAGAACTGAAAAAAAGGGGGACCCACTTATAAGCATCTTTTTCTTTCATCTTTGATAGACATACATTTCCCCGGTACGCCAACGCATGGGGCAAGGCTTGGGTGGCGGTGCCCTCCTCGGGACAGCGCTGTCGATGGCCGCCGCACCGGCACGCACCACACTCGCAAACCACCTGGCGATTATTGCCACCGGGGCGGGCCTCGGCCTGGCCCTCGACTTCACGAGTGACTGTCTCGCCAAGGAAGGGAAGGTGTACATTCATCGCGATGTTGTCCTGAGTGCGCAGGATGTGCTGCGCCACGTCTACACCTTCTACGCACCCTGCGAGTCGAACGCCATGGCGAAGGTCTTTCATCAAAAGCACGAATGGCTCGTGTTGGAATCGGAGGGGCGGAGGTTCTACACGGTGCAAAAGTGTCCCGCCTCGGGCAACGTCGTGATGGACGTGCGGCTGTCGCTACGGTCTGCGAATGACCTGGGGCTGGTGGCGGCCGGCAGGCCGACCCAGACGGGCGAGATTCGCCAGCACCGTGCGGATATGGAATTCGACATACCGAATGATGTGCAGGTGGCCTACATGGTCGCGTGGCTGCGCAAAGAGGACCCGCGATGGTCTTTTTCGACGGAGAACAGCCGGCAGTTCACCACGCGTGCGCGATACGCACTGAACGACTTTTGAGGGCCAAGGGAAAATCGGAGGGGGACCGCACACACACACACAGGCGCACAAGCACGGTCGCTTGGAACTGGAAAGCATTTGAGTTCCGAAGTAGTGAAATGAGGATGTACTGTTGGAGTTGCTGTTACCGCGTGCAATGGCGCTTCTTGCGAGACAGCGGTTGCTGCTTCCACTTGAAGCTTAGCTGCGCTCCCCACACAAAATTGCATTCTTTTTATGTACGCTGCAAATGGAATCCTCGGGATGTCGCAAGCTTTGTTTCTTTCCATGCACGTGTGCTTTTTTTATTTTATTTAGTATGTGGGGTTTTCTGGGAAACTTCTTGAGTTACCCCGGCGTACTTCCTGCCGCTTGCGCTGGTGACGGTTGTCAGGCCTCTCGCCCGTCAGTGCATTCTTGTGTCGTTTTTTGATGCGCAAAACCGTCTTTTCACGTGCCTTTTCCTCCTCTACTCTTTCCCTGTTATTCGCCGTCGCGGCGCGGAACGCTGCGAAGTAGTTGGTGCGTGCTCTGAATTAAATTAAAAGGTGCTGACTGAGCACTTTCGTCGTCGATCTCTTCACACGTGCCTTCCGCCACGGTCGTCCATCGTAGTTAAATATATATGCAAGCGCCTTCACTCTAGATCTTCATCAACCACCGCACGTCAAACACACGCGAGCGGATGAATCGTGAGCAAATTGCCCGTCGCGTGGACCTCATCGGCCCCTCCACCGGCGCCATCGTCAGCGTTGCGACGTGGTGTGCGCTGCACGGCGCAGAGGCAGACTCCATCGTGGCCTACGTGGCGGAAAAGATGAAGCACAAGGAGACTACCGACGCCCAGCGTGCGTCGTTAATTTATCTCATTCACGAACTGCTTCTCACCTGCGCCACCCGCGGCGTCTCAGACAGCGCGAAGCGCTCCATTCTCATCGCCGTCAGCCGCACGCTGCCGCGAGCCGTGCAGGACACCCTGCGCCAAAAGACGTGCGATCACACCTCTTTTGTGGCGGCGTTGCAGAAGGCAACGGACTGGTGGGCGATGCTGAATTTGTTTCCCATAGCGTGGCTCGCACAGCTGAAACGGACGTCGCAGGAGGCGCAGGAGGCCGCCGGCCACAGCACCACCGTTCCCTCCGCGTTGTTGCAGGTCGCCGCCTTGATGCAGCGCTACCAACACGCGAAGGAGGTGTGGCTGCACAACAAACACATCAATGCAGCAGAGGGCACCTCCGCAACCACCAACAGCAGCGGCGGCGTCAGCGGGCAGGACGTGGACAACTACGGCAGCATTAACGGCAGCAGCAGCGGTGTTGGTGGTGGTGGCGCTGGTGCCAGCAGCGCCATCGTCGACGAGGCCGCGCATCGCTGTTTGATGGCGTTGCGGAAAGCAGTGGAAAGTCGTTTTGAGCGCAACGCGGCGCTGCTGGCGTGGTGCGAGGCGGAGCGGGCCGAGCTGGAAGGACGCGCCGTCGCCACCGCTGGCAGTGTAGCGGGGACTGTGAAGACGGAGCAAGGTACCACGGCAGCAGCGCACGCGGCGCCGCACAGTGGGGCCAACACGGCGGTGTCCGTCAAGGAGGAAGTTGGCGTGGCGGGTGGCGGCAACGACGAGGACGACGTGTTGGGTTCTTTTTTTTCGTAGGTTAGACGACGAACAAAGAAACGAGTGAAACAATGAAATGGAAGGACAGCGCAGCGGCTGGTCTTTTGTGGAAGAGGCACATAGCGGATGGAGGATTTGGGCGCTGCACGTGTGTACGAGATCCTGTGGATGCAATCGACAACAACAGCAAAAGGAAAGAAAGCCGAATACCGTCCCCAGCCTGCTGTTGGCTTTTACCTTTTTGTTGTTTTCTGCAGTGCCGAGCTGAATTTGAACGTGCTTCGCACGTACAGCTAACTCTACGATGTTCTTTTCCCTTCTCTGTACGGACTTTCCGGCCTGGCACATCGCTGACCTCCTCTCGCGTGTGTGCTGCTTCACAACTGCTCTCTTCTTGTTCATGAATGCCTCCCTCCTCATCTTTGTTTTGCCAACAGCACTCACATAAAAGAAAGCAATAACAGGAGAACGAAAGGAGTTCTGCGTTGAAACAAACAAGGAAGGAAGGAAAGAAAAGACAACAGAGAGGGAAAAGCGGATTCATTGTGCTCTCTTCCGCTTTGCAACTCTCGACACTCTTCTCTTCTGTTTGTGCATCGCCCAACGTCTATGCATTTGACGCATCACGTTTCAACCCGCCTTTTGTCCATCTCCGAATCAAATTGGACATAAAAAACCACCTCTAGAAAACACGGGAAACGGTGCCTCTAAATCTGAGAGAGAGAGACGAACGGAGAAGCACACGTAGCCTAAGTCTGGTTTCCGCTGAATAGCGTCACTATTGGGTTGTTGTTAATGAAACTGTGGGCTGCCGCTGAACTGTAATACTTTTCCGTTGTGGTCACAACGCGTTTGCCGTTCTCGATCCTTTGTATTTGTACAGAATCTTCTGCAGATTCAAAGACATGAGCGCAGCGTACGGCTACAATGACTACGGCGCCCAATACGGCCAGCAGCCACAAGCGCAGCAGGCGTACGGGTCTGGGGCGCCAAACGCGTACGGTGGATACGGTGGCGTTCAGAATGAGGTCTACCACCAGTATGACGCGCAACAGACACAGGCCTACGCGCAACAGCAGCAGCACCAGTACAACGCAAACGCAGCTGCGAGCCAAGCTGTGGCGTCGCAAAGCTACCAGCAAGACTACAATCAGCAGCAACAGCAACCTGTTATGGGTGTGGTAGACAACGGCGAACCCAACGGGCAGGCAGGCACGGAAGCCCCGGCGCGGTGGTCGTGGTCGCTCTACCCCATGAGTCGCATTGACGGCGCGCGCCTGGTGGCTCCCCTCGGCTGCCTCTACTCCCCCCTCGCCTCCCCGTGCACACAGCTCAACTACGCCCCCACGCAGTGCACCGTGTGCGGTGGTGTGTTGAACCCGTACGCCACCCTCGACTCCCGCAGCCGCACCTGGGGCTGTCCGCTCTGTCTGGCCAAAAATAGCGTTCCGCAGCACCACCAACAAGCAAACGAATACAACCTGCCGTCAGAGATGCAGGGATCCTCAAGCACCGTGGAGTACGTGGCGCACATGCCGGCCCGCAACCCACCCACCTTCGTCTTGGTGGTCGACACCTGTCTGGACTCAGACGAGGAGCTGCAGGGCTTGCGCGACTTCCTTCTTCAGGCGCTGCAAATGATCCCGGAAAACGCGAAGGTGGCCGTTATTACCTACGGAACGACCGTCAGCGTGCATGAAATCACCGGCTACGCGAACTTCCCACGCTCCATGGTGCTGCGCGGCACGCAGGAGATGACGGCGGAGCAGCTGAAGGTGATAGTGCCTTCACCCGAGCGCTTTGTTGCTCCGCTGGGCAGCTGCGCGGAGCACGTTACCCAGCTGATCTCCTCGCTGACCCGCGACCTCTGGCCGGTGTTGAAGGACCACCGCCCGCTGCGCTGCACCGGGGCCGCGCTGTCCGTCGCCGCCAGCTTGCTGCAGGTCGTCTCGCCCAACACCGGCTCGTGCATTTTGACGTTCATGTCCGGCGCGTGCACCTCTGGCCCGGGTATTGTGGTCGACGTGAGCCGTGAAAAGATGATTCGCGTGCACGCTGATATTCGCGACGAGACGGCCGCAGCGTCGTATTGGAGCGCTTCCTGCGCCTTCTACGAGAAGCTGATGCACCGCATCGTCGCGCAGGGCCACTCGCTGAACTGCTTTGTAGCCTCACTGGACCAGTTTGGGTTAGCGGAGATGAAGACGTGCGTGCAGTCCTCCGGCGGTGTCGTGCTGAACGCGGAGTCGTGGCTGGAGGAGCCCTTCCGTGTCTCGCTGCATCAGTTCTTCGAACGTCGCGACGACGTGGCGCTGAAGATGGGCCTCAACGCGACCTTCGACGTCATCACATCGCCGACGTGGAAGGTGCAGGGCGTGATTGGGCCGTGCGTCGGCACCGGCAAGAGATCCACCTCCGTTGCGGAGTACGAGATCGGCCTCGGTGGCACCTGTCAGTGGACGACGTGCCAGCTAGACTCGACCACCACCTTTGCCATATACTTCGACACCGCCGGCGCGCCGTCCGGCGAGGCCGCGAAGAACCCCCTGCGGTACACCCAAATTATCACCCGCTACGAAATTGGCCAGGAGACGCACACCCGCGTCACCACGCTGACGCTGCGCCAGGCGCAGAACCCGCCGATACAGGACCTCGTGGCCGCGTTCGACCAAGAAACGGCGGCGGTGCTGCTGGCGCGGGAGGCGGTGCACAAAACTGACAGCATGCCGCTCTTCGATGTGCTGCGGTGGCTGGACCGCACGGTGGTACGTCTCGTCGCTCGCTTTGGTACGTACACGAAGGACCAGCCCGACACGCTGCGGCTGCCCAACGAGTTCGTCTATTTCCCTGCCTTCATGTACCACCTTCGTCGCTCTGGCTACCTGCAGATATTCAACTCCAGCCCCGACGAGACGGCGTTCCTGCGGCTGCAGCTGCTGAAGTCCAACGTGGAGGACTCTATTGTGCAAATTCAGCCAACGTTGTACAGCTACCGCATGGACGGCAACCCGCAGCCGGTGCCGCTGGACAGCACGGCCATCCAGCCCGACAACGTGCTGCTGCTCGACACCTTCTTTGAGGTGCTGGTCCACTACGGCGCCACGATCGCCGCGTGGAAGAACGCCGGGTACGCGGAACAGGAGGACTACGCGTACTTCAAGGAATTCCTCGAGGTCCCGATGGCGGATGCGCAAGTCCTCATCAGCTCCCGCTACCCGACGCCGCGACTCATTACCGTCTGCCAGGACGACCCAGACGCGCGTATTCTGTACAACCGCATTAACCCTAGCCGCACCTACGCCTCCGCAGAGGGCGGTGCCTACGGCTCGCACGAAGGTGAGCTGGTGTACACGGACGACGCTTCCTTGCAAGTGTTTATGCAGCACCTCAAGAAACTGGCCGTCTCTCAGTGAGGAGGTGAAGGGAAAGAGAATGGGTTGGCAGCATTCTTGCGAAGCAATCAAAAAGATCAAAAAAAAAATGTGTGTTGCTCCTTTCAGCCGACTCGAAACAGGTGCTACCGTGAGTCGTTGCTGTTGCTGCTTGCACTGAAGGTTTCGTTTCGCCACGACAAACACTTTTATTATCATTGCACGTCCGTTTTTCTACGCTGTGTATGCCGTTTTCCGGTTTTCCTTCTCCTTTCATATGCGTGCATTGATAAGTCCCGTGTACCTCGTTTGTTCGTTGATGTTGTGCCGTTGTTGTGGAGAGGGTTCTTTGTTGTTGAAACGACTTGCTCGTCTGTGGCGATGTGCTGCACGGCAGCGCGAGCATCTAGCGCGATAAAATTTGGTTGCGTGTGGGTAAGGGGACGTGTCGCAGATGAAATGCCAAAATGGTTTTTTGTTAACCTTTGGCAGTCACGTCCGTTTACGATTTCGTGTGCGTCAGTGAAATCGTGGGTTACGAGTGATCTGCATTTTTTTGTCTTCCTTGTTAAACTCCTCGTAGTCGATTTGCCAGACTACCCAAAAGAACGTACACCATGTCTTTGTCAGCGAAGATGTGAACGCCGAATGAAACAGAGAAGCGTTACGCCCCTTCGTTTCTGACGTTTGAAGGGTGGCTAGAGACTTCTAAGCACTTAACTCCCTTCTCTTTTTGCTGCTAAACAAACACCTGTCACGCAAGTACCGTTTAAAGGGGAGGGGGGGGGCATACAGTCCACCGACAAAGAATGTGTGCGTCACAGCCGAAACGCGTTCTCAGGCTTTCAAAGCGTCACCAGTTAATGTCCCTCCGCTTGCTCAACGACCTGTTCTCTCTACCTTTAACTGCTTTCCTTTTTAAGTGAAGCTGCCTTTTTTTTTTCTTGGGCGCGCTGCAAGCACTGACGCGCGTGCCAACGCCGATATCCAAAGCAGCTTCCAGAAGCGGCCCGCGCCACAACGAGTACTAGCAACATTTTCAACGTTCGATTTTGCTTTCTTTTCTCTCTCTCTCTCTTCCCTCCTAACATGTTCGAACTTCTCCTACGAGGCTACCTCGTGTACCTGTCCTTTGTTCAGCCCGTTGTTTACGGTGCGCAGCTGTGTCATTCGCCCAATCCTGACCCCCAGCAGGTCACCAACGTCACATTGACGCTCATCTTCTCCTGGCTTTTGGAGGTGGCCGATGTGGTCTTTCTCTCCTCCTTCATCGCCATGCGCTGGCTCTACGTGTGCGCGCGTATCGTTCTGGCGTTGTACCTTGCACACCCACGCTTCCTCGGATCTGTGCAGATCTACCGCAAGCTCTTTGCCACCCTCGTCGACAACTACTCCCCCGTTGTGGACTCCATTGTCGTCCGGCACGTGCAGACGATTGGTGAGTCGGGGCTGATGCAGTACGGAGCTCTGCTCAGCGCGGGGCTTATGCGCGGGGTGGCCGCGTTGGGTGGGATTGCGAAGACGCTGTTGGAGGCGTCCGCGGCGACGTCCGTGCCGGCAGCCTCGCTGCCCCGGCGCATGTCGCAGGCACGCGATGACACTGCTCTCGAAACCGCTTACGGCGAGCACGTAGAGGCCGTTCCACCACCGCTGCCGCCGGCGCGTCAGTCGCCGCCTCCCGCGCGCTCCCGCGCGATACAGCCGCCGTCGCTCTTTGAAGATGAAGGTGAAACTTCCCCCTCCTCGTCCTCGGATGTGGAGTACACCTTTGAAGAGGTGCGAGCGAGGAATGCGCGCTCGTGGAGTGAGGCCGACGACAACAGCGAGCCGGTGCTCGGACTCGGTGTGACGAACCGGCTCTATCGCGAACCCGAGACGGTGGTCAATCGTGCACGCTACAAAACGAACCGCACCAACCCTTTCGATGACTAAGTCGTCGCAGGAAAAACCCAAAATGGGGATGATGCTTTCGCTTTTCTTCTTTTGTGAAGAGGGTGTGTTTCGCCTTTTATTCATCGAGGACCTCCTGTGTTGTTGTTGCTGTTGAGTGTACTTCCCATATTTGCTCTTCCCTCATTACTATGTAAGAGGGGAAAAAGGAGCATTACTGTTTTTTTTGGAAAAATGATACTTCCCTGACCCACCTTTTCTTTTTCGCTTTTACCTCCAATGCCCGCGGCTGCTTTGTGCCCCCTCTTCTTTTCTACATACGTCCTTATCATGGTAGGTTTCCCTTACCGCCTCGCTAATGCCTTTCTTCATCGTCCATCGGTCTTTCACTCCTTTTCTTTGTTTCTTTCTGCGTTGTCGATTTCTCCACGTAGCACACAGTGTTCTCGTACATAAGCTGACGAGGTGTTTGTACTTTTTTTTCCCTCTCCACTTCGCACATAGAAATTCTTCCTTGCTGAACTTATCTGTTCACCCTCGCCTCATTGGCACGTTTACAGAACCGTTGGGCCATCAGTAGATTCAGTGGCATCTCCGCGCTTTTCCCCCTCCACACATCCTTTCACGCCTCAGCGTGCCCTTTAATCAGCGCTCTTCTTCTGCCTTTGCACGAAAGCGCACTAGCATAAACATAGAAGTTTTCCTTTCTGTGATCGGGTGAACTGTATTCGGGTCTCTTTTTGTGTTGATTGCTCCTCCGCTGCCTCTACGCCGCTTTGCTTTTTGCATACTACTTCCGAAGAGTTTTTCCTTGTAGTGCATTTAACAAAGGCGGCAGCAATGCTGAGCACACGCGGTGCCATCACCACCAACGTCGCCCTCGTTGAGTGCGCCGCAGGGCAGAACAAGGCAGACGCGAGTGTCTTTCTGTTGAGCGAGCTGGAGAAAGTGTGGGTCGCCGTCGCCGTTGTGGCGAGGCGTCTCCTGCTGGACGGTCGCGCGGTGCAAGTTTCCCCCTTTGGCGCGTTGTGGACGGAGGAGTACGTCCTACTGCGCGATCGTCAGCAGCGCCCTTACACAACTCGCAAGCTATGCTTTGGCATTCATCTGAACTACGCCAACCGTTACGGCATTGACACGGGCAAGGTCCCTCTCGAAAAGAGCAACGGGGTGGGTTGCGTGCGGGTGAGCATGGCGGACATCGTCGCCGTGTGTGGCGTACCGGCGCGCACCGCGGCCGCAGCGCTGAGAGAGTTCTTCATGTACCTCGGCGAAGGCCTCTCCCGTGGACGCATTTTTCAGCTGGCGATGCCCGGCGTCGCCACCATTGCCATCAAGCAGCAGAAAGTCGTACTGACCATGAACGATGACCTCCGCCACGCCATGTACGAAATTGACAGCCGCAAGTGGGCGGTGGAGCTCCGAGAGGAGGGACTGACAGCGCTGGCGCACCTCACCGCTGCTCCAGCCTCCGGCGTCGTCTCGGCGCAATCGTCGCGGCCGTCGACGTCGCGTGCATCGCGTGTGAGTTGGCGGCCCGTCCCCGCGCCGTCCACGTCAGCAGCAGTATCATCGCTCACAGATGAAAAGAAAGCCGTCTTCATTGCCGCTGCCCCGTCCGGTCGCACCTTCGATGAAATCGCGCAGCAGGCGGAACAGCGACGCAAGGCAGCGGAGATCGCCGCCGGCGCAGAGCGGGAGATGCGGCGTCGTCAGGAAGACTTGGACCGACGCATCGAGCACTACTACTACTACTACGGCGAGGGAGACCGCGACGAGTACCACGCAGATCCGATGATGAATGAGATGCACTTTTACGGGGACGGGGAGGGAGACCGCGACGACGACGAGACACAGGTCGCCGAGGTAGATGAAGGTCAGCGCCGTCGCCTCCGCCCACCCAGTGCATCGGGGGAGTCGATCTACAACGTTCTAGCTGACCACCAAGGTCGCGCACCAGCGACGTCTCACCAGTACGGGCTTCAACCACAGCGACCACACGCGCCTTACCCGCCCCACAGCCGTATTATCGATGAACCGGAGGTAGAGGTGATTGAGATGGTCGGCGACGAGCATCCCCATCTTGCGGATGCGGCCGCAAATGAGGAGGAAGAAGCGAGGGCGAGACGGCCACTGGCGCACAAAGATGCGGAGCTCGAGCGCGTCCTGCGAGAGGAAGAACCGTTTAGCAGGCCAATTTCGCGCCGCACCTACCATGAGACGTGCGCAGCGCGAGATTTGATTTACGCCCAACCCTTGGAAGCCCCGGAGCGGGTCTCATCGTCGTCGTCCGCTCCTGCTGCCGCTGCCGAGCCCTTCTCTGTTTTTCGACCATCTCGCAAAGCAAACAACTTAGCAGCCAGCGCGGAGGTTGAGGAGCGAAGTGCGCAAGAGCCGACGCATCCGCAGCCAAACAAGGGTGCGGATAGCGGGCGGCAGCCACCGCACGAAGAAGCGATCCGCTTTGGTCGTAAGCGCTTTAACGGGAACAGCTACGACGACGACCACGTAGGTAGCCTCCTTCAGTATGGTGCATAGATATGTTCGTGATGGCGCAGAAGCCTTTTCGGTGCGTACATCCATAGAATTGTTCGTTGAGATATATATTTTTGCATTCTTGCCTGTGAACAGTCTCAGTACTACTAGTAGTGAGATAGCGAAGGATGGGACTCACTCATCTCTCTCTCTCTCTGAATGGCACCAAAATACGCGTGTCGGTTGACCATCAAATTAGATCCACCTGTGTTCAGGCATGCAGTTCAATAGCAGTAAGAAAAAGAAAACATCCTCAATAGAACGACCTCCGTTGTTGAATGGCATTTGCTAATTCGCTGCTCTTGTTGCCAAAATGTGTGTGCGTGTGTACGTGTTTTGAATCAATGCAGAAGAAAAAAGTTGCCCACTGGGCACTGGTCTTGCTTTCGCCTCCCTGGCAACAATAACAAGCTCTCGGGTGTTTCTGACGGGTACGAAGGACGTACCGCTAACTATTTCACCGCATTGCATTTCCCGAAGTGTCCAGCTTTAAGGGGTGTGTATCGTTTTTTGTTTTTTCGAACTTTATACTATTCGTGCTTCTCATTTCTCTCTCTCTGTCTTGTGTGTGGACATCAATTTGTGCCATGCAGTCCTGCTACGCAACAACTACACTTTTCACCTCTCAAATACTTCAGCAATACAAAAACGTACGTAGGCTCTGCTATCGATTCTGGGCAACAACACGATATTTAGATTTACATATTTTTTTCTTCTTTCTTTTCCCATTCTTTTTAGCGTTTTGTGTTTTGCGTCTGTGCTGTGTTGTACTTCTCTCTCGTCGGTGAGTACGCTTCTTTTTTTGTTCGTTTGTTTGTTTTTTCCCGAGTCGTGATGCTTTTCAGATCGCGACGCAACAGCGGTGGTGGTGGTGCCATCAGCCCACGCCAGTCCTCCACGCTTGTCGGCAACTTCGCTCCAGGTGGGCCCACTGCGTATGAGCGGCCCAGCTCCGCCCCTGTAGCCGGCGTCGTGCCGTTACAGCCTAACAGCAGCACCGCACTTGCCTTCGCTAGCCCCAAGGCGGACGAGGTGCAGAACGTGGAAGATCGGCTGAGCATCGTCAAGCGCAGTCGCACCGCCTCCGCCGCGAAGCCCTTCGCGAATCGGGACTCCGGCAGCGCAGCCGCGATGCTTCATTCACCTGACTTCATACAGCGCTCGGTAGATCCCTCGCCTTCGGGGTTAGGTGGAGCGGTCGCTGCGAATACAGGTGTGGTGCCGCCGTGTAGCTCGTACCCCACCTTTAATCTAACGAAGCTGCCGAAGCATGAGCAGCACGTCATGGACGCGCTATTGAGCGAATTTACGGAAGTGCTCTTCTTTCGAAGAAGTGAAGGCGATTGACGGCAGTATAGAAATAGGCCAATTCAATTGTCACAGGCAGAGAATTCTCGTATGTGCGACGTTTAAAGCGTGCTGCTGTTTCCGTAGAGCAGCGATTTGGGCAAAGTCCTACCTAAATACTCATCTCCAGTGTTTTTCTTTGTTTTTCAGATATTATATATATTCATGTGCTGCTGCTTTCAAGCGTGTCGGGTTTGTGCCGTACGGAGACACCCTTTTCTTCATCTGTTTATCAGTCATACAAAACCATGCAGGTGTCTCATACCCCATTAAGAGGAAGAAAAGTAGACTTGAACACGTACAATACGAGGTTTATTCTGACGTTTTTGTTTTACGTGTTTCGCACTACGAAACGGGGTGGGCCCTTTTTCGATTCACGCAGAAATTGCAGTCCAGATTCTTTGTGTTGGCATCGGTGAACAATATGTTGACGTCACTCCCCATAGCGACCGTGGCGCCGAGCATCCCTCTACCCTTCTTGTTTTCTTTCTTCTTTGCACGGCTTACCTTTCACTCCTCTCACCCCACCTCTTTCAATATGCAGCATCACCACTTTTACATCCTACACTTACAAAGAAACCGTTCCGCATACAGGCCAACATTACTGAGCGGGTAGGGCACTGCGTCCACCCCTTTTCTTCTCTCTTGCTTAGTATTCGCCAACTGAGAATCTGCTTCTGTGTGTGTGTGTGTGTATGAGAATATCAATACAGTATTGCAAAAGGAAACTGGAAATTTTTTTCATTACTTTCTTGTTCACTTTCTCTAGCTCTTTTTATTCCGCACTATGCCGCAGAACGAGTACATTGAGCAGGCGCAAAAGCGCTACGGTCGCAGGCTCGACCACGTCGAGCGCACCCGCAAGCGTGAGGCCCGTAAGGCGCACACGGACGCGACCTTCCTGAAGCGCGTGAGGGGCATGAAGGCGAAGCTGGCACAGAAGGCGCGCTACGTAGAGAAGGCGGAGATTCGCAAGAAAATCCGCGAGCACGAGGAGAAGCAGACGAACGAGCGCGTGAAAGAGAAGGGCCCGAAGAATGCGCTGCCTGGCTTCTTAATGGACCGTAGCGAGGCGGACCGCGCCAAGGTGCTGTCCAACTCCCTGAAGCAGAAGCGCAAGGAGAAGGCGGGCAAGTGGGCGGTGCCGATCGAGAAGGTGAAGACGGTGTCGGAAGATGAGATGCTGAAGGCGATCACGTCTGGCAAGCGCGGCAAGAAGTCGTGGAAGCGTCTGGTAAACAAAGTCACCTTCGTCGGCGAGACCTTCACGCGGCGCATGCCCAAGATGGAGCGCTTTATTCGCCCCATGGCGCTGCGCTTCAAGAAGGCCCACGTGACCCACCCCGAGCTCAAGGCGACCTTTTACCTCCCCATCATCGCCGTCAAGAAGAACCCGCAGGGTAAGATGTACACCGGCCTCGGTGTCATCACGAAGGGCTCCGTGATTGAGGTGAACGTGTCGGAGTTAGGGCTCGTGACGCCGTCGGGCAAGGTGGTGTGGGGCAAGTACGCGCAGGTGACCAACAACCCGGAAAACGATGGCTGCATCAACGCGGTACTGCTCGTGTAAGCGTGCAACGTGTACACGTGATGGCTGTCCGTGCGATGCGCGCTGGGGACGTTTTGTGTACGTGTCCATCGAGGCGAAGTGAGGAGAAACCAACGACATCAACCGTACTTTATAAATATGAAAGAAGAAAAAGAGACCGCGGCACACCAGGGTGGCGACAAGATCGTTGGGCCAGTGGACCTTCGTGTTGTGCATGATTTGATGCTTTCCCGCTATTCTTTACGATTTCTTGGAGCGCTTTCTCCGTAACTGTTGCCTCCGCTGCGCGAGGGAAGACTTGGGTAATTGGTTTACGCAAGCGAATAACTGCTAGTCCAGATGTGCCTGGTTTTTCCCCCATTTTGGAGCTGTGGTGGCGTTTTACTCGTTGGGGATTGGGGGAGGGGGGTTGTGGGCGTGGCAGACGAGAAAAATAAGCCTTCAGAGATACCTTGTCTTTTTTTCTTCTGCCTGCTGCAGTCTCTTCGTTTCTTCTTGGGTGTGTTTCTGTAGTTTGAAGCAAGTGAAGAGCACCTAAATTATCAGCAGCTTTGAAAAGGGGTTTTTCCGCCGAAAAGCCACAAAAGTTGTGTTGATGAAGCGAGGACGCGAGAAACTTCGAGACGCGCTGCGCAAACCTTCATGCCGCAAGGTCGATAAAGTACCGGCGCCCTTCTTTCTAAATGTTTTTTTTCTTTAAGTGTAGGTGCTGACTGTTTACCTCTAACATTTTTCGTGTAAGTTTCTTCTACTAGGGGGTCTCGAAACTGTTTTTAAATATCTTTTCTGTACTGTGTTAAGTAAAACTGCAAAGAAGAAGTAATGTGTCTTCCGAATTCTTTCGCGTCACGCCTGGTGGGTTTGAACTCCCAGTGCGTTCTTTGCCAGTGCGTTGAACTGACTTCGACAAAAAAATAGCGCTACGCTTGGAGGGCGTTCAATCGTAAAGGAAAGGAAAAGAAAACAGATGCTCTTTTCATATTTTTTCTTCTCAGAATGACTGTTTCCTCTCTGTGTGTTTTTTTAATTGTTGGTACTCTCGGATCGCCCTCAACTTCCCTCTCCTCCCGTCCCCTCTCTCTCCCTCTTCGTCCGTATTTTTTGTATTTATCGATATGTCACGTTTATTTGTGTGGCTGCATGTGCTGTCGAAGGTTGTATAATCATCAACGGAAGTACTTTCTGTGACTCCTCAATACTTTTTTTCGTTTTCTTTTTTTTCTTTCTGCTTTCTGCGCAGCTGTCTACGCTGTACTTTCTACGGGATCAATATTACTTCCAAGCGTTACTGCTCCTTGTTGCTTGTTTCTTTTTTTTCCCTCCGCTTTTAAAGCTAACTGTAACTCTTTTGTTGCTTTCTGTAACAAAGTTGCCAGCCGCTTCTCGGCATACGCACCACTGAAATCATGGCAGAGTACATCAGCACGATCCTGGCCGAGGAGGATCCGAACAAGTGGTACACATCCTTTGAGTTCTACCCTCCGCGCTGTGAAAGAACGGAGGAGGAGTTGATGAACGTGCACATTCCTGCCTTCGCCAAGCAGTCGCCCGTCTTTCTCGATCTCACGTGGGGCGCCGGCGGCCGCACAAGCAACACGACGCTGCGCCTCTCGAAGCAGCTGCAGGACACGTACCCAAACATTCCAGTCAACATGCACATTACCTGCACCAACATGCCCGCCGGGCTCATCAAGGAAAGTCTAGAATTTGCGAAGCAGAGTGGAATCCGCAACATCCTCGCGCTGCGCGGCGACGCCCCGCAAGGCGAGGAATTTAAGGCGAACCCGGACGGCTTCGCGTGCGCGAAGGACTTAGTGAAACACATTCGCAGAACATACGACGACTTTTTCTGTGTGACGGTGGCCGGATACCCGGAAGGGCACCCGAGCAAAATTGCTGACGACGGCACCATCACCGAGGAGGACTATCAGCAGGAGCTGGACTACCTTAAAGCAAAGGTGGACGCCGGCGCGAGCATCATCGTCACACAGCTCTTCTACGACCCTTCCATCTACGTCGCTTTTGTGCACCGCTGTCGCGAGATGGGCATCAACGTGCCGATTCTCGCCGGTCTGCTGCCCATCACGACCTACGCCGGCTTCAAGCGCATCGTGAAGCTGTGCAAGACTCACATCCCTGACGACGTGCGACAAAAGGTGGAATCGTTGAAGGATGACCACGATGGCCTGAAGGCCTACGGTGTGGAGCAGTGCCTGGCCATGATCCACTACATACGTAATGCCGGACTTGAATACAACCACCTGCACTTTTACACGCTGAACAATACCTCACAGACGTTCAAGGTAATGCGGCGTCTTGGCATTCACGTGGAGTAGGACGACTGCGGCTCTTGCTTGCGCATGCCTGATCGTGAAACGAGAAAAAGCGTGATCCTCCCATCCCTCTTCCCAGGCTGTGGCGTTTCATGTGGGGCGTACGAGTTCACCGCATTCTGTCATCTTGGTAAGCTCGATGCAGCGTAGCTGGTGACACGTGTCTTTTTTCTTTTGTTCTGCTTCGTTTCTGATCGGTTTGCTTCTTTACATACATATATGTGTTTCTTTCCCCTTCCGTGATCTCTATTGGGTGGGTTTCAACGCGGGAAACCGTGGAATTACACACATAATTGCTTCTGTTTCTCGTTTTTTGTCTCCTTTTTCTCTTTCTTCGTTGCACTCGCTGCGCGCGTCTGGAAGATGTGTGGTACGGTGTACGGGTAACGGTTACTGTGCCGCGTGTTCTCCTGAGCGCACTCACGCGGTCACCGCCTTGGCGCCTTTTTCTTTTCCGCCGTTTGCACAAGCGTCTGCTGTGTTCATCGGTGGTTAGTATAAAAAAAGAAATGCCCAAGAAGAGAAAAGCCGCAATGAAAAGTAAAAGTGAGATATTTAAGCGGAAAGTGCGAGAAAGCGGCGCACCCTTCCGCCTTTATTTCTCTGTGGTGTTCATGTCGTGTGCGCTCGACAACGCTCTTTTTCTTTTTGTCCAGCTCGACTGAAACCACGTTTTCGCTTCGGTTTGGGTTAATGGATGAAATCGAGAAGAAAGAAAACTAAAAATCTTTAAAAGAAAACATATGAAATAACTCATCAAATTAGAACGGCAAAGCATGCCTGCAACAGGAGCGCAAAATGGAAAGGAGTTGCAAGAAAAAAGCTGCCGTACTCTTTCAGAAAGAGAATTTTTTTCATGTACTTGTCAGTCGGAGCTGCAATGCAGATGTAGAATTGCGTCTTCTTCCACGTTGTTTAATGTCGCAGTACTGCGAGCGCCTCTAGTGCGTCTTTTTATATGTGTGTGTGTACCTCTCTGTCTTTTCCGAAAGTCTCCTCCATTGTCTCTCCGCCTTTCTTTTTTTCCTCCCGGTTGCTCAACACGAACAGTACAATTAAGAAGCAACAGCGGCGTTGTCCGCGTACATTGTACAGTGCCGTTGTTGTCCTTCACGATTGTCTTTTCATTTCTTTCATTTTAGTTATTGTTTACTACTATTATTGTTACTGTTAACTCCTTTTTAGTTCCCATTCGGAGCTCCGCGTACGTCCACAACCCCTCTTGAACTTAACCAATCTCAACTTTGTCACTTTTTTTAGCTTTTTTTGTTTCAGGTGACGACTTTCAATCGTTTTCTCTTCTGGTTTGCTGTGTTGGCCGCATAAGATTCTCTCTCTCCCCCCCCCCCCTTCTCCCCATGCTTCTCCCCACCAAAAAAAAAGGTTCTTAGCTTCTTTGTCATAACATTTTTGATGTATCTCAGCTCATACAATTTCCTGCTACTGCAGTTGAAACTGGGTACAGTTCCCTTTTCTTTTCTCATTTCTGCTGTTGTGCCCTCCATCCCTTCCACTACACCACAAAAGATATTTTCCCTGTTCTAGAAGAAACGTATCTGAAGCATTTTTTTCGCGCGCAGCTCTGTCCAAGTTCTTTTCTGTTGTTGCTTCGTTTAGTCTCATCTACGTGAAGGTGGGTGATGAGCAATGGGGGTATCTATCAGCAGTTCTGAGTACTGTGGCAGTCGGCGGTCTTGCAGAACCTCTCGTAACTCCACCGCAACAGCTACTCAAAAGCTCCCTTCAAAACCGAAGACGGAATCTTCCACAGCAGTACCTCATCACGCACAAGAAGCAGCGAGGTTTCCCCTCGTTTTACCGAAGAGCGAAGAAAGCGTCGGCACCTCGTGCGCATTGTCCTGTACCGTCTCCATGCAGGGCTCGCCTACCATCGTCGATCTGTTGCCGCTCGCCCGTGAGGGGGCGCAGGCAACCGCAGCGTATTCGCGCTTCTCGCGCCTCCTCTCCGGCTCGCCACACACGACTTTACCCACCTCACAACCTGCGCCGAAGGGGTGCACGACGTCACTGTCGCTGCACATGTACGCACACCGCGCTGCCACCAGCGTCTCTACCCCTCTGGTCGGCGTCGATGTGGTGCCGATTGAATACGCGTCCCCCCTCCTCGATGATCTCTCAACGGATCTGGACGACTTTGAGCTGGCCTATTCGCGCGGGGTACAGGACGGTCTCATCCCAGCTGCCGCTGCCGCTACCGGGTCTTGTATGAGCCTCCGCAGTGTCAGTCGGAGTCTCTCAGCGTCTGAGGTGGTCTTCGCGGACACCCCGTCCGATGTGGACGAGACGCTTGCGTTTATCACGCTGCGGCGGGTGGGCTTTTCCCTGTGTCGCACCTGTGGGTCGAGTCTCTGCTATCACGCCAAATTCTGCCCTGAATGCGGCTGCAGCGTGGAGGAGGTGTTCGGCGACACCCTAGTGACAACTGGTAGCGGCTGCGCGCTGGAATCAGCGTCGTTTGCCGCAGTGAAATCTTACCCCAGCAACAACTTGTCTGGTGGAAACTTTAGTGCCACTACGACGACCGCTACCACCACGCGCTCCTCGGACCGAGAAGTGGTGACTACCGCGCTGCAGGAAAGCAACGTCTTCACTCTCCAGCGCCGTAACGCCTTTGTGCGCTACGTGAAGGTGCTGCGCTCGCGTCAAGTGCTTGGTGTCGGTACGAGCGGCACCGTCTACCGTGCCGTCGACACCCGCACGGGTCAGCAGCTCGCCGTGAAGGAGTCTCTCATCAACCAAAACTCACCCGACGAACTCGCCGCCGTGCGCAACGAACTCCGGCAGCTCGCCCAGCTTCGGCACCCCTACATCGTGGAGTACTTTGGCTGCCGCGTCGAAGCAGTGGAGAGCGCTAACACCTCGTGCTTTCAGAGCTCACAGATCTCCTCGCACCCCAGCGCGCTGGAGTCGCGACGGGTTAGTCGACCCAACAACGTGATTGATCAGCGGACCACACTGTTTCCACGCTTGAGTTCAAACGCGGCCGCGCAGCGTAATGAAGTCGTTGAAGCAAAGAGGTTGGTTGCGCTCTCCACGATTCGCGTGCTGATCTTGATGGAGCGGGTGGAGTGTGGGACGCTCAGTCATCTTCTTGCCGACTTTCCTGGTGGGATGCCGGAGCAGGCGGTGCGGTGCTTTGCAGCTCAGCTGGTCGATGCCGTGCGCTACGTCCACGAGTGCGGGCTGTGCCACCGGGACATTAAACTCGACAACATCCTCCTCGCCTCTGACGGCACGATTCGCCTCACCGACTTTGGCTGTGCCGTGCGCGGTGTGAGTGGATTGACCGGCAACGGGAAACCAAGCATTGCCGGCACGCCCGCCTATATGCCGCCCGAGTCGCTCCACTGTTTGGAGCAGGCGTCCGTTGACTGGACGTTTCAAGGAAAAGCGCAGGACGTGTGGGCGGTGGGCTGCGTGGTGCACCACCTCCTCACTGCTGCGTCGCCGTGGTGTGCGTTGGCATCGCTCAGCCCCTATGCGCTGCTCCTCCACATTCAATCGCATGAGTTCCCCGTGAAGACGAAGTCGTCGCTGTCGCTCGATGCGGTGGACTTTTGCCGCCGCTGCGTCGAGCGTGACCCGCAGCGTCGCATCACAGCAGCCGAACTTGCGACCCACCCTTTTGTCACCTCGGCTCTCTCAACGTCTTCGCAACGGACTCCGCAAAGTAGCCGATGTTGACGTGGACAATCCCCCTTTAACAAAGTGAACAAGACGAACGGCACAAAATATGTATTTTACCCTTCTCATCTTGGTCTTCCGTAAGTAATGGACACTTCTGCGCGCGGTATGTATGTGCATGTCCAGGTACACTTTTCTTCAATATATGAAGACTTTTTTTTTGTTTATTTCCTCCTTTTAAATCCGTAGTGTTGTCTTGGCCACACACACACACACAGCGGAAACTGTTCAGTTGTGATTTCGCCCAGTGGAACGAACTCTTTTCCGTCCAGCTATCGCGTCAGCTATCGACGTCGTTGTTGTTGTTTTTTGCTGTTGTTCCATTTTGTCTTTGTAACGTTATGTTCTAGTGGCCCTTTTCTCATAACGCTCTTACATATAGTGCTTTGCTCTTTCCTTTTCTTTTTCTTAACGTACCCTAGATGAGGGTTCCACAGCTATTTGTAGTGTTTCTTTCTTACTTTCGTTTTTTTCTGTTGTTATCTTTGTGCAACTGTGCCCCGGCATCAATCGGTAACACTCCAGTGATTCTTTTTTCCCCCTTCCTTTCTTCAACTGAACTATCCGTAGAATCGAACCCCCATCATCACCATCATGTTGTATCTCCCGTTAATAAGTAGCTGATGTTCATTTCGACCAGCGCAACATTCTTTCCTCGCAGCCCGTGTGCGTGCGGAGTGCCGACATGCTTCATTCCGAAAAGTGATCCGCTTATCGGGTTAATCTATCTTAGTGAGGCAAAATTATCTCTTTGCTTTCCACGGTAACTCTCCCCCTTTTCCACTCTACGAACGTCCTTCGCTCTTTACTTCTGCCTCTTACTTTCTCGCGTCGTCGCAGCAAGTCACATCAAACATACCAGTGGTGTGTCTGTGCAATCATCAACAACAGCAAAAGAAAGGAAGTTACACAGCACCGTAGTCGCTGTCAGCCTCACAATGAACGGAGGTGAAAAAACCGTGTACAACGCACTGCCGAAGCTGCCCGGCTTCGCGTTTGAAGAATTGCATCAGCCCGTCACCAGAGGCCGGCAGCAACTCTGCTCAACGGAGCCCGATGGCACTCGAACGGTGAAGACGTCAGCATACTGCAAGCTTGCAGGTGGCGCGTCAGCGGCGGCGGCTCCGCCAGCGGAAGGCTGCGGCATTCCCGTGCGCGTCATCCTCCAGCACTTCCCCACCTGGCGCACGCTGGACGACAAGGTCCTGCGCTTCTTCGGCTACTACACGGAGGACGTCGTGGACAGCACTATCGAGACGTGGCGGGTGCGGAAGGTCAAACTGCACTACTTTCTCGCCGACGGTTCACTGAACGTGGTCGAGACGCCGGCGGTGCAGAACAGCGGATTTCAGAAATGCACGACGGTGTCGCGCTTCCATCCAGATGGCCTCGACGTCTTTCAAATGTGTGTCGGCGGCGTGGTCACGGTGCGAGGTTTGGACTACCACCTGGTAGACTGCGATGCCGCCACGCGCGAGTTCTGCGAGGTGATGGGCATGCCGCAGCCGGAGCCGCTCGACTACCCGTGCGACGACTTCGAGGTCCGCGCCGCTCGTGTTCCGGCCGGCATCGACGAGCAGCACGCGCAGATGCGTCGCGTCGTGGAGATGCAGGCGGCAGCGCGGACTGGCACCCATGCCAGCCTCCTCACCCCAGCGGAGCGCGTAAAGGCTCGCAACTTCTTCGAGAACGACCGCAACGTGCTGCGCTTTTACGCGGTGTGGGAGAAGCGGAAGTTCCGTCTTTTGTACTACCTCGCCGATAACACGATGGCGGTGCTATTTGACAAGGCAGAGAACGACGGCCGGGACTCGAATGCGGCATTCATTCACCGCCGCACGATTCCAAAGGAGGCCCGTGCTGCGCTGCTGTCGTTGGAGACGCTCGATCGGCCGCACGGGCCCGCTCCCGCCGTTCTCACTCCGGCCGACCTGCGCACCGGCACCGTGGTGGACATCTTCACCCGCCCCTTCTACATCTACGACTGCGACGAGCACACGCGGTCCTACATGGCGGCGCAGGGCATCCCGCAGCTCGCCGTTGACAAACCGCCCTGCGAGGAGGACGAAATCACTGTCGGGAAGCGCCGTCCGCGGCTGCCGCGGGCGCAGCGCACGGGGGCCATCGCCACGGCCGGGGTACCCGCCAAGCGCTACGGCGCCTCTACGATGATCTTCGACGACTCGTTGGGGGAAAAAGATGCGTTGAAACTGTCCCGGTACGCGCAGGACGTCTTTCGATTTGGAGCACAGCTGCTGCGGCCGTCGCAGGAAAACGAGGGCCGGCAATTCATGATCTGCTACTACCTTGCCGACGACACCGTGTCGGTGTACGAGTTACCCGTGCGCAACAGCGGCCACCTGGGCGGGAAGATTTTCGCGCGGCGTGCCGTCGACACCATCAGCGACCCGTCGTCGCTGCAGGTCGGTCGCACGGTGCATCTCGACGGCACCGACTACGTCCTCACTGAGATGGATGAACGAACGAAGCGCTTCCTGGAGATGGGGATGCCGAACATGGAGGAGGCGTATTTCCGCACGCAGGACATTCTGAACAAGGTGCCGCAGTACCTGAATCAGCACTTTTCTCGCGTGACGGACGCCTTCCGGCACTACGCCTCATCGTCAACGCAGGGGCTCACGCAGGAGAACGTGCGGGAGCTGCTCAACGACGCAGGCGTGCACGTGACGGAGGAGGAGATGGCCAATGTGATGCGGCGCATAGACGAGGACCAGGACGGCTGGGTCTCTCTCTCAGACTTCACGGAACAGCTTATGCAGCAGCAGTTCCTCTCCACCTTCAAGCCAAGGGAGTCGCTGCGCACCTTTGGCGACGTGCGCAGTGGCATCACGGTGCGTCGCGGTCCGGTACAGAGCGCAATGATGCTCAGCAAGGCGGCGAATGCAAAGACGCAGGCTGAAGCCGCGCTGCGGCAGTTCCTCAGCCTGATTGAGGCGCGCCGCACACTGGCCATCCGCTCGTTTCGCGGGGTGTCAGAGTCCACCTATGATGGCAATTTAGGTATGGCGGACTTCCAGGCGTGTGTCAAGGACCGCCTCAAGACCCCGATGACGGATGATGAAATTGGTGCCCTGCTCTTCTTCTTTTACTACGCGCCTGGCCTGAACGATTGGACGGCGCGGCGGCTGCCAGTGCAAGAAATTCGGAGGATTCTTCTTTTGTAAGACCGGATAGGGCGTTGTTGTTGCTCTCCCGTTCTTTGAGGAAGAGGTGGTGGCGTTTACCGCTCGTAGCGAACGATTATATTTCGCCTTGTTCTCATTGATGTGTGCGGACTGCGCTGTCCTTCGCCGACATTGCGGCAACTGAAGGGCCCTTTTTCGTCTCGTGCTCTCCCTGGCAGATGACAAACTTTTCATGTACATAATTTGTGAAGGAAAGAAGTTTTGGCTCGCGTGATGGACCACCTGTGAAAAAAGGGCTGGCATTTCTCTCTATGTACAGTGGTGCTCTTGCAATAAAGAAATAAAGGGGAAAAACCAAGACGAGAAATAATGTTACAATTGCTGAACACAGCACTCGGAGAAGATTTGCTTGTCACTACTGTTCTTCAAATGACAGTTTTTCCATGGCTTGCAGAGAGGAAGAGAAGAAAAATCCCCGCGAAGCGACCGGATTGCTTCCGTTTTAGGTGTTTTTTTTTTTGCCTCTTTTTACACAATCGCAGCCACTACGACTTTCTCTGTTCAAAAACAAGAAAGACGCCTTTTATAAGGTGCAATTTTCTGCGGTGTAGATCATCAAACGCTTCTCCGACCATTTCTTCCCCTCTTTCGCTGGAGCCCCGCTCCCCCTCGCTTAGTTTCACGTATTTGCACCAATACATAGAGAGTTATTGTCGTGTTTTTGTTTTTTGATATCTTATTTGCTAAGGGCAGTCTCTAGTGTGTTCACTGGGTTGTTTCCTTCGCCTGTTTGCGAGTCAGTGTACACAGATCTAAAAGCCTCATCAGAGCACGTCTTATAAGGAAATTAAAAAATCGAGTATTAACCTCCTTACACGCTCACCCTCCCACCCACGCATACACACTTTGAGTACATCCGTTGTGTTTCCAGTATCCTTCTTTTCTTTCTACAACTCAATGGCCAATACCGCTGCTCATCTGCAGGAGATCACAGGCTTGGCAGCGGCACGTGCGAAAGAGTGCTTTGATGTCTTTGGTAACTACCCGACCGCCCTCGCCTCGTTCGCCCAATCCTACGCAGCCATTCCGGCCGATTACTTCGAAGATGCCCAGGTGGCGCGTACAAATGCGCGCAAGATCAACGACGAGCTACGCGCGATTTACCGCAAAGCGCGTGAACTGAAGAGCGCCTCCGGCAAGCCCGACGCCGAGGTGTGGAAGGCGTACCCCGTTGAAGGTGAAGAGAAGCCCGCGGCTGCCTCCTCCGCTCCTGCCGCACCCGCCGCCTTCCCCGCCAAGGCTGCGGACGAACGCCCGCTCCTCAACTTTGGTGGCGCCGCTGCCCCCGCCGCCTCGGCAACGAACAAATTGGGCTTTGGCGTCGGTTCCGCCGCCCCGCAGTCGTCGATACTGGGGGCTGCGCCGGGCACGCAGGAACCACCGAAGTTCGGCTTCGGTGCGGCCCAGTCGTCGGTATTGGGGGCAGCCCCAGGCGCCAACAGCATCTTCGCCGCACCGGCGCCGGCTAGCGGCTCCCCCAACTCCGCTGCGACGTTCGGCTTTGGGGCCGCGTTGGGCTCTCCAAGTGCGACGGCGGCACCGGCTTTCGGATTTGGAAAGGCCGCAGACGCACCAGCAGCAGCAGCAGCAGAGGCGAAGGGCGAGGCAGCTGCAGCGGAAGCGGAGACTCCTGCGGCGGAGGTGAAGAAGAAGCCGGTCAAGTACTGCGACCCGAAGCACTTCACCGGGCCGTACTTTGACATGCCGCGCTTTTGGGAGGCCGAGGTGGTGGGCCGGGCGCCGCTGCTGAACTTGAACAACGGGTTTCTCGAAGCGCACAAGGACGAGCTGCGGCAGCGTCTAGCGAAGTGGGTGGCCAAGGCCGCCTTCTACCGCAAGCCCGTCAAGTACGTCGAGATCGAGGACGAGGATGAGGAGGTGGTGCGGGTGATCATCAAGGACGCCGACCGCACCTTCTTCGACCCGGAGCATCGCGCGAAGATGGTGGCCTTCCTCAACGCCATGTTTCACGAGTTCAACGCCTACGGACAGGCGATGAGCTACCTGGCGGGTCTGTGCATGCTGGTGCTGACGGAGGATGAGACGGCGGCGGTCATTCGCTTTGTCGCGACGGAGTACATCAAGGGCCACTGGGCCGCGGAGGCGGTAGGCTTTGCAACGAGCGCCTGGGTGGTAGAGCACTTCATGCAGAAGCTGCAGCCCGAAGTGGCGAAGCACCTCGAGGCGCTCAATTTCTGGCCCGACACCTACCTCCAAAAGATCCTCACCGGCCTCTGCATTCACGTGCTGCAGTTCAATGAGCTTTTCCAGTTCCTCGACGCCTTCATGGCGGGCGGCATGCACTACCTCATCCGGTTTTGCCTCGCCATCGTCGAACACTTCCGCACGAATCTCCTCGCCATCAAGGACTCCACCGAGGCGAACGAGCTGTACGAGCTGCTGCGGCTGGACTCCCGCGTTGCGGACCGCGAAGATGTGCTGACCATCTTGGCCCGCGCGCCTTCGATCGACCTGGGCGAGGACGGCAGCAGCATTGACGTGATTCGCAGCGAGGTGTACACGAAACGTATTGAGCCGCGGCTGAAGCGCGCACCCAAGACGGAGACCTTTGAGCCGTGCGTGGTGTGTGGAAAGAACCGTCCCAATTGGTGGAATGATGCCCGGGGTGCCGTCTGCGACTCCTGTAAGGACGCCGCTCCGGACCTCGCCTACGAAAAGTTTTGAGCGATCCTTTTTGTTGTTGTTGGGGGAGAGGGAAGATGGAGGAAAAATGGCGCTCCTTTCACGTATTGAAAGCTGTTCCTTGCAACACAGTTCTGCGCCATTCTTTCATTTGACAACCAGATAATTAAGCGAAATGTCGTGTTTTCCCCCGTTTATTGTTGTTCGTCGCGGATATTCGTCGGAAGTAAGGGACGTATATAATTAAAAAAAAACTGTTTCACTATTCCCCGCGTCATAAATTTCGGCCGCGGGAAGGGGGGTCATCACCGCAAACGCCAACGCGCGTCTCCCATCCCCGCAACTGGGATTGTTAAATGTGTGTTTCGCGGATAAAAGCGCCTAGCGGCCTTGCTGCCTCGTTTCAGGGTTTTTTTTTAGCTTTCGTTCTGGAAGTGCTATATATAAGTTGGTTTCAACAGTCAGCGCACGCCTGCTCACTTCGTTTGTTTTTCCCCATTTTACTCTACATTCCCCCTCCTCATTGACCGTACCCTCCGTGTCTATTTATGTGTGGGTGATACCGCGTTGACGTGATGTATTGCTGCGGTCAGTTTTTTTTTCTTGGTATGTGTGCGAAGGAGCTCTTTCTTTACGAGAGCAACATGTGAAATCGTTTTCTTCTTCCACTGTACCAAAAATACTCTTCAATTTTTTCGCGTCGTTGACTCTTCTATAGTTTTAGTTACCGGATGCCACCAAGGCGTGCGTGAGTGTTTGTGTCTACTTCTCGTAGGCTCTCCCTTCCCCCTTATATTCATGTCTTTTTTCTTTGTGAATATCCTCTAGGTTAACACTTCTTTGGTGGTCTGTATTAAATATCGTTGTTATCAAAACGCTTATTTCTTCACTGCGTAAGGAACTCAAAAAGGAAAAAAAAAGGAGGAAACGAAACGGCTCTTTGCACCGTAGCGGGTTGTAATGTTGTCGAGCCCAAAGCTACATGAGAGCGTGTTCAGCAGCGGGTCGGAGTTTCGTGACGGCGACAGCAAGTTGGGGTCAAGATTCGTTTTTTCAGCTGCGGCGGACGATGACGTGAACGTGGAAAGAGATGCGTCCGCGATGTCGGTGTGGAGGCGGCTTGCCCACGTTGAGTTGACCGCCCTCATCACCGTGGCGCTTCTCTACGGCATCGCGCTTGTGTCGACGTGGCTCTTGTCGCTGGTGGTTCGCGTTCACGTCCACCAGTTTCCATCTGGGGCCCTCACGCCAATGCAGCTCACCGCCTTCACGTTGTGCTTCTTTTCCATCGGGCTGCACGTGTCAAACTTTATTTTCACCTGGCTTCGGTGCACCCGTGACGCGGTCGCGGCAACGCGCGCAGCGTGCGAAGTCAGCGTCTACCTGCTGCTCTTCTTCGTCTGTGATCGCACTGCCTTGCTGCCTCGGCGACCCTGCGTGGGCAGTGCAGACTTCTTTTTGTTCCTCATTTTCGCCTTCGTCTGTGCAGCGCTGGCCACGGCGCGGCGCATCCGTCTTTCCTCGCATGCCGAAGTCGAGCACGCGCGCGCCGGTTTGCTGCCGTCAGCAGCAACACCAACACCATCAACAGGGCCGGAGTTGCAGGCGTCCGAGGCGCTGCTGAACCACCACCATGTGGAGGAGTGGCTGGGGTGGGTGCTGGTGCTCTACGTCATGTACGGCTACTTCCACAACGTGCACATCAATGTCCTGGTGCGCGTATGCGTGTCGTGCTTCGCTTTTTTGACGGCCTTTACGAGCTACGTGCGCTACGATAGCGAGCTACCGCAGCAGCAGTCCGCTGTCCTTCTCCTGCGGTCGTTGTGGAAGATGAACTTCCTTGCGGTAGTCACGTGCGCGTTGATGGGCAACCAGTATATGCTGTACCCCATCTGCGCCGTTCAGTCCTTCGTGATGGCCGCGGTGCACCTGATGATGAGCGTGGGGCCGTTGATGCGGAGCGGCAGCCGCGTTGTAGGGATGAAAATCGGCGCGGTCGTGGTGTTGGGATGTGTCTTGTGGGATACCCCGTTCTCGCCGGAAGTGTTCCGTCTCTTCTGGAGTCCACTCTACTGGCTTGTCCGCTACGACAACCCCGTCGTGGGTGTAGATCCGCTCGATGAGTGGCAGTTTCGCAGCAGGTTAGACCACTGGATTTGGCTGGTGGGCGTGCTGGTGGCGAACCGCGCCTCGTTCTTGAACGGGCTGCTGCGTCGTCTAGACAACCAGCGACCAGTTGGAACAGTCATAAAGTGTGCCGTCGCTGCTGCAGCGGCATCCGTCATAGCTGTGTACGCGTATGTCGCTCTGAAGACCAGGGCGGTTGACTACGATAGGTATGTGCCCTATTTCTCCTGGGCTCCTATATTGGCCTTTGTGGCGCTGCGCTGCGTTTTTCGCACGGTGCGGTGCTTCTACCTGCCCCTGTGCACGTTTTTTGGTGCCTTTGCCGTTGAGGCATACGTGGCGCACAACCACGTGTTTCTGGCCACGACGGGTCTCAACGGCGGACCGCTGTACACGCTACACCTGCTCCCTGGCGATCACCCCCTGTGTGACTTCGGCGTCTTCGCGCTGCTGCTGCTCTGCGTCTCGTACCGACTCTCGATAGCGACGCCACGGCTGCGGCAGTTTATGCTGCCCTTCAACGCCTCTCTCCTCACCGTCCTGGAGAACCTTGTGATCCTCGTGCTCGTAGTGATGTGCACGTACCTGCTGCAGTATTTGTGGTACTCGCAGAACGTCAGAGCGACCACCTACTGACCTTCAAAAAAGGACTCGTCACTGTACACGTCCAATAAAGTAAAGGAGTCCATTGCGTCCCTCTATGTAACTCACGTGTGTTTCTGTTTTGTTGGCTGGCTGGTGCGGCTTGTGTTGTTTTATCCCCGCTTTTTTGTTTTCCCGTAGTATTGTATACCTGTATTAAGCAACCACAACAAAAGAAAGAAACTCAACTTTTGTTCGCGATTGCGCGCTTCATCGGCTCCGCCGCAAACGTCACTTTGGCAGAGAGCCTGCACGGTCAACGCTCGCGATGCCGTTCCCACGCAGCATGAAGCGAGTTTTCTCTCTCATACCATCACCTTGCACTCCCTCCTCTCCCCTTCCCTTCCTACTCACTCACCCCTCTGGACACCTCTCATGTGTGCCGCCCAGTGTTGCCCGCAGGTGGCTGACCATAACCCTTTTTTTTTCACGTTTCCGCTCCCACTGCGTGTTCTCGCCGCGATGCGGCGTGCGTTGTTGAACTCCGCTCGCGAGAAGCGGGCGGTGCCGCACCCACGCGACCGCTCCGTCCGCCAGCTAGAAAAGAAGGAGAAGCGCGCCATCCGACTGGACGCGCAGAAGACGCGACTCAAGTCCGAGCAGACGTTGCACCTCATGCGCTTTTTTTGGTTTCGTGAACAGTGCGGTGCTCTCGGCTACGTAACGGAGGCGGTGCCGGATGACGTGGTAGCGCTTCTGGCGCAGTTGTACGTGGAGCGCAACGATGAGGAGCTGGCGGAACTGAAGGCGCAGCGCAACCCGCCACTCGGCCGCATCAAGACGCTCGAGGCGCTGCGGCAGCAGGAGATGGACGAGCTGGCGTCCGCGAAGGGCCTCCGTATGCCCAGCCTCAGCGACGCCGACGACGTTGAAATTTTGACCGAGATCTGGGACGGCACAAAGGAGACGGTGATGGTCGTGAATGCCGTTGGCTTCTCGCTGGCGAATCGCCCTCGACCGACGCGAGCGGTGCTGGCGCAGCTGGCGGAGCGACTTCGCCCTGTGGCGGAGGTGCGCAAGGAGGCCCCCGTGACGCTGCCGAAGCGTGCCGTCAAGTTCCACGCCGCCAAGCCCTCTGCGGCGAAGCGGAGCACCAAACATCTATCGGTGAAGAAGACGGAGGACTCGCTGGCCGGCGTCAAAAGCCGTGCCAAGGCGCGCGAGGAGGCGAAGCGGCAGAAGCGTCTTAAGGAGCAGCGTGGTGCCGCGCTCGCGAGCCGGCGTGTGTGAATCGCGTGCGGCCCTGTCGAGTCGCAGTGCAGCTCTGTGGCTTTATGTTGCTGTTGTTGTTTTGGGGTTAAGGAGGAGACTCCACCACGTGTAACGCATCTTTAACTTGTCTCATTGACGAAAAAGCGTACTACTACTAATACCACCCCTTTCTTATTGTCGCACAACGAGTGGAACACCCACCGCCATCGTTAAGCAGGCGCCGCACCACGCGCTCGCCGCGCCGCCTGGCCGCCGGCTGGTGTTTTCTCCGCCGCTTTTTCGTGTCTTCCATCTCCCCGCCCCCGCCGCCCCTCTCGACGAAAAACTCGGGTCGTTACGGGAATTGAACCCGTGACCTCCTGTACCCAAAACAGGAATCATACCACTAGACCAAACGACCTTACGTCCGAAACATCACACGCCCAGGAGCAACTGACTATAAACAGACCAGGAAAGAAGAGCGTACGAACAGCAGCACCGTAGCGCAGTGGAAGCGCGATGGGCTCATAACCCATAGGTCGTTGGATCGAAACCAATCGGTGCTATACTTTTGCACCGCGCAGCCCCGCCCCAGTCAACAAACCCCCGCCTCACGTGGCCGGACAAGGTGAGATGGTCGAGTGGTCTAAGACGTTGGATTAAGGTTCCAATCCTTTCGAGGGCGTGGGTTCAAACCCCACTCTCATCACTTTTCGCGTCGCGCGCCCCGCGGCGCGGGAGAAAAAGAGAGGACCCACCCGGGTTTGAACCGGGGACCATTCGGACTGCAGCCGAATGCTCTACCACTGAGCTATGAATCCGACGGCAGATAGGGACTGCAAATTGTACCACAGAAACTATCAATAGCCGGAGGACGAGCTTGAGGGAGCCCCTAGCACACTATTGCTCAGATTAACTGGAATCGCTGCTTCGACTTTTACTAAGCAGCGCTCCCAAACTGATAACAAATTTTGAGGCTCTGCACAGAGCATCGCGACACCTTTTCGTGATCAGCGAAACAACGAGAATTGCCGTCATTGCAACCGCCACCGAACACCAGCTCTTCCGTCTGCTTCTCTCACCTGATGCAGTTGAAGCTTTTCATCCCCATTTCGCACAGATTCACGTTGCTCAACAGCCAGTTAACCGGGCCCCCGTGTGCCCCCTCCCCATTTGCAACCTTAGCGGCCGCGCCTCCTGCTCGTGTGTTGTTGTTTTTTAATACGCTATTAAAGTGGAACCCAACTCTCTACCCCGCCCCCTCCCCAATCCCCAGCACTCAATGCAGCAATACAACGTCGCCCAGTTTGTTTTCTTCTCTCCAGAGAAAACTCAGAGGGCGGAGCCGCACAAAAGTCCGGTTGCATCGCCATTCACAACACGAGCAGAAAATGAGTCGCTTAAGTTGTTCATGTACGTCTGAAGCGCTGTTACAACCGCGACGGCATTGTCCGCGTTTGTCCTCGCAGTCATGGCAGCAACCTTGCGAATGTGAAAGGAAGACGTACCGAACGGCAACACAGTGGCTTTCGCACCATTACGACTACTCACGCGGTAGTCACTTGCACACAGGTTCCGTTGATCAAGCTGACTTTCTTTTCAGAAGCTTCCACTTCTCTTCTCTTACAATCTCTTCGTTTTAACTATTTCTTCCTGTTTATTTCAACGATATCAATAACGATAGACATTCCACATTTTCTTCTTTTAACGCGTTGCTTTTAGTCGCATTGCTGTTTGTGCATCCCAGCGCTTCTTCCTTTTCAGTAGTTTGAATCCAACCTGAGTGTTTTTCTGCACCCTCGTAGCACCCAAACGACAAAATGGACATTACGAAGTACAACCAACTGCTTGCCCTCGCAGACTTTACGAGAGAGGTAAAGCGGTGTGATTTCTGTGCCATCGATCAAGAAATGACAGGTGTGGATATTCCCGGCACGAATCTGCCCATGGGTGCTTCTCCTGATGATGTCTATTATGCAAAGCGCGTGGCAGTGGAGGCGTACAGCGCATTTCAAATGGGCATAGCCTTGTTTACAAAGGCTGACAACAACTCGCACGAGGTTCGGCCATACAACTTTTACCTGCTGAACAGCACCGGTGATTTGAGACTAGGTCTTACCGCTATTTCCTTCCTCGCAGCTAATAACTTGAATTTTCAGATGTGGCTCACTTCAGGTATGGCGTTTTGCAATGAACAGGAGGAGCAAGCATTCGAGGCTAAACAAGACGTTTCTTTTGCAGATGATGAGGAAAAGAGTATCGCTAATGAATTCGCGGCAGCCGCTCAGGAACTCCTCTCGACAGATGGCGAAAAAGTCGTAAAAGAACTCGCGTGTGCAACAGATCTCGCTCAACGGCTGCAACGTTTCATAGAGCGCCGCAGTGATTATCGAATTTCCGCAGCTTACGAAGGAAGGCCCTACCTGGCCCAAAAAATCAAGTTCACTCTTCGAAAACTCGGTGACACGGAGTGGGCGGCAGAAAAGGAAAAGAAAGTTCTGCAGCAAGAGCGCGAACGCGCACAGGTGCTCGGCTTTCGACAGTTCTGGAAAATTTTGGTCGACAGCAAAAAGCCCGTTGTTGGACACAACTTCATGCAAGACGCTATGTTTATGTTTCACATGCATCAAGAACCGCTCCCGAAGAACTATGCTCAGTTTAAGCAACAAATGCTGAAATGCATGCCCCACATCTACGATACGAAAACAATCGTCAGCAAACTATCTGGCGATGCAGCGTTTCCAATCACCCACCTCGGTGTTGTTTACCAAGAATGTCGTCGCCGTGCAGGACTGTCCCTCGACACTTTTTCTCGAAAGTTCCGACTCCCGCCAGGTTTTTACAGCTATAACGACCAGACTGTCAAGATGCAAAGCAAAGCACACGAAGCTGCTTATGATGCGTACATGACTGGCGTAGCGTTTTGTATTTTGCACAACTTGTACGCGGACGTCACAGCTGAGACGGAGAATGTTATTTCAGCCTTCGGCAGTGCCTACTACATGTGCTTGGGCGCAGCAGACCAACTGGTCAACAGCAACACGTTTGTACTGGAATGCGACGTTCCCTGTTCCTCAGAAGATATTGAATCTCTGTTTTTCGCGACGGAAGACAAGGCCTGCGTTATCACCGCCAGCAACAAAATTGATTTTCGGAAATTATCGTATTCTGTAAACGGTCTTATCCCACGTGAGGATACAAGGGTTTTCACCGCCTTTTGTGTTCGAATGACAACTTTGACTTCAACTGATCAGCTTCGCGAACGCATCCAGTCGTTACGCGAAAAAGTGTTAGGCAGTGACGAAAACGTGAACCTCGCACTACTGTCACACATTACCATCCGGAAACTAGAATAAACGTTTAAAACATTTACCTTGTTTTGAAAATATAAATGCGCGGTATTCGGCAGCATTTTATTCACACATATATACACATTTTTCTTTTAGCGTTTTTCCTCTTTTTGGCGGTTTTCTCGTTTTAAAAGTTGTACTCCTGCATGAATTCTTTCTATTTCGTCTACAGAGTTATCAGCGACGCTACATTTTTTACGCCGTCTTTTCCCCACATGGCAATTTCTTTTTTACGAAAAAAAAACTGTGTTTAAGCACAAACAAGTTTAAAGCAGTAGCGTTGATGCAACACAACAGTAGCAAACACACGAGAAAAATAAAAAAGAGTTGTACGTGGCGTAAATATACAATGCTCTAGGTGAGCACTAGCACCACTGTTGAGTTTTCTCACATGAAATTCGAAATTCGGCAAAGTACTATTATTATGATGAAAAATATCTGTGTTGCTTTTCGTTACCTTCTGCAAAGCTGATAATGGAGAGTACGTAATGATCTATCGCTGTGCCACTCCAATATCTTTTAATTATCGTCTTTCTTGTGTATTTGTATGTGTTCGTGTGCTGCCTTTCTCTAACTTTTTTCTCTATTAATGTAATTTGTTGTTAATCTCGGATTTCGTTACCAACAAAACTGTGTAGGAAATATGAGGCACAACGTTCCTCCGACATCTCTCGAGTTGTTTCGAAGTGCCTCAGTATTTGCACATCGCTGCTTCTCGCAGTATTCTGATGGTACAGACGGGATCGAGTGGAAACAACGATATCTTCAAGAACGCCGGGACACGGCATTAGAGTTTCTCGGGGATGTAAAAAAGAGGGTCCCAATTCACGAAGCTATTCGGCAGCGGGCGAGCATAAATCGAACGGCTTCAGGCAGTATTCACTGTCCCACCTTGTTCGATGAATCGTACAACAGTAACACTAATGACAATTTCCACGACGGCGGCAGCTGTACCAAATTAATCGATGAGCTGCTTGATGATCTTTCACAAGACGAGAACGCTGTTGACAGATTGCAGCACGTCGACTTTGATGCTCTGCCACTTCTCGAGCACGAGCTCCTCGGCGACGATGCGCCTGACGAAGCAACGCTGCGCAATTGGTTGCGGTTGAAGCGCGAAACAGCGGATTACCAAAGCTACGCATCCATTCCAGAAAGCGAACGAACGGCTTGGTCTGCATGGTATTTGCGCCACATCAAAGGGAAAGAGGAGAACTGAGCTGCGAGAGCGTGAACTACGCCAGTGCTGAATGCTGCTTATCGTTATTATCATTTCTCACAGATCAACTACTAACCGTTCAGACTTAATAACAAATTGAAAAACAGGGTTCAAAAGCGTTTTAGAATTCGTAAGCTTGTCGGTAATGAAAAAGGAAAAGCTGAATCGAATGTAAATCCCCGTGACTTTTCGTTTCGACGAGTAGTTTTTGACAAATTGATCATATGTTATTTTCTCAAGAATTGCTTGCTGTCAGGAAAGAAAAGTGTCTAACTTTTTTTCACTTGTTATTTCTTAATCATTTTCGTAACATCCCCCAATTCCCTATTATTTGTCTTTGCTTGCTTATATATTATTTTCTGGTTTTTTTTTTTAGCAGTGCTCGCACGCAACTCAGACTTACAAACGGGACAACCAATTGTTCCAGCGAAAGAGGAACCATATATATATTAAGGAAAAGGAAGGTACTTCACGTTACCTTTTCTTCGTTCTCTCTCTCTCTCTCTCTCTCTCTCTCTTTTTCGTCGCAATTCTACAAATTGGCATTCTTAAAAGAAGGAGAAATTTTTTTTTTCAAGAATCGTGTTAGGTTCGTGTGCCACGCCAATCACCTAACAGAGAAGAGGATGAAATCCATATCTCTAGCTTTTATTGCGGTGCTTCTTGCTGTGCTGCACATAGCAGCTGCTGCAAAGAATAACACCAACCCTACGGAGGTGACCATTGCCATGTCGAGCACGACGGCCACGGGTCTCACAATTGGTATTGCACTCATCGGAGTTCTCTGGTTCGGCCTGAGCATGATGCAGGGCATCCAGATCTCCGATACGATTACGGAAGCAGCGACGGAAAGCAGCTGAGCAACTCTGTTCGCAAGCAGTTTGTGTCTTATTCTGAGAAAAGAGGCTGTAAAGATTTATTTGAGAGTTGTACCGTGTAGGTGTTAGCGTTTTTGTTGTTGTTTTTATCCATCGCACATGTTTTACCCGTGATGATCGTTGTCGTACTTGATAATACAAATAGAAGTGAAAGATGAGACTCATCCTTGCTTGAGCGATCGAACTCTTTTCCTTTGTTCGTTAGCCTTTTTTTTGTGGCTGTGGTAGGACATTTACTCTTCTTGTATCACTGCAAAATACACAAGTGTAAAATGCATACCTATCGACACCTCACCATTTATTTTAATAAATATTTTTTGACGTTACTGTAAGCGCTGAAAAGGCAGAAAGCTGTGCAACATTAGTTCGCGCACCGCAATTTCTATGCGCATTATTACTATTATTTTTATTATTTAAGCGTCCCTTTCTTTCTCGAGATTGTACCCTCGTGCTGTTCTTTCTTTTCTCACATCCTGCTTTGCTCCAATACGAAGATTCACATCGTAAAGGGCCTCATCATATCTGCGAACAGCAGTACACAAATGTGCAACAATTCATCAGAAATCCAAGGCCACACAATCGATCCCGAACTATACAATGTAGAATGCCCACGAAGTGTGTGGAACCGCATGGCAGTTATTTACCATATGACGCGCACAAATCTCAAAGTGGAAGTGCCCGATGAGGTGTTGATGGCGGCCTGCATGTCGTATGCTCTGAAAGGATGCTGCGCAAGCACCAAGCTACCCGGGCTGCTTGAGATGCGAAAAGACGTTAATGAGGTGGATGTGGCTGCGGTCGAGGCGTTAATATTCGAATATGTGAGACCAAATGTCATTTTGATCGAGAGCTGTTTGCGGCTTGAACTCAAAACGCTGACATTGCACGCACCAAATGTGTATAGAAACCGTGAATGCATGGCGCGCGTAGCTCTTGCGCTGTCACAAAAGCTTTACGTCTGCTATCTTTGCCTTTATCCTGAAACGTGCGCGCGTGCATGCCTGTTGGCGGCGTGCTCCTTGTGTTTCATCGAAGTGGATCGCACGCAACTTCCTAAAGAGTTTGCATCTCAGCTGTTGAATAAGGTTTACACACACCTTATGTCTACCAACCGTGTTGTTTAGGTTTTATAACTGCATAGGTCATCGTAGTAATAAAAAAGCGAGAAAGTGTCAACTCAGTCTTACAAGCGCGTGTTTTGCAAACTGAACTGATGAAATCTTTTTCTTTTGTATTAACGGCTCAGCGTCTGATAATCGTTCTGCTCCTTCCAAAACTTTGTTGCGCTAGCAATTTCCCTTGTGAAGTTTCTTTTGGCTCTCAATTCTGCATCGAAAGCGTTTGTACTCTTGCGACCAAGCTGAAAAGCAGCGAAAAAGGACAGCATTTTTTGTACGTACGTCGTTCTTCGAAGGCAGTGTTACCTGTTACGTCCAAAAAAAAAGTGGAGTGAAGAAAAGGAGCCAACTCTGCAGTATTACGGCGTCTCTCATCTTATATACGGGAAAGAGGAGGCGCGTTAACCGTGCTTGGCTGACGGTTGAATCCCATGAAAGTGGGACAGGTGACGCATTAGTGAGTTACGGCGCAAGTACAATGAAAGTGCTGATAGCACAGGATGTACTTCATCTTGACTTTTACGTTTCCACACACCTGCCTTCTTTTATCCCATTTTTTCTCGTAAATTAGTGTTTTTGTGCAAATCAAAGCACGTAGACCGCACCATATATGTAAGGTTTTTTTTTTGCATTTCACAACAGCTTTCAAAGGGTGATTTCTTTCGCGTACGACCGAGAAGCCTCTCCTTGCACTGCCCAGCAAAGGAGAGAGCTTGCTCAGTTCTTTGTCTACTACGCCTTGTTGGCGACACTGCTTTCGCGGAAACTTGAAACGTAAAAAACGACGCCGACATGGAAGACTGGGGCATGCTCAGCGTCGCGGACGTGATCGACGGTGATGTCGACAGCGACGACACAACAGCAGACACGTTCAACGGTGATGTGTCAACGGAGTACGATGTCGCAGGTGCACCCTTGTTCCTTCTTGACGCTGCTTTTGCGCCTGAGTTGCAGCGTGCGATGCTGTCTAGCGTGAAATACAGGCTGTCGGCGCACTCAACACGCATAGAGCGAGTATTTGCAGCGCGTTTTCGCAAGCTGAAAGTTTCTCTGTCTTCGTCAAGGCGGATTCGCCAGCGTCTCAGCGAGACGATCGCACTCATGGGCGTATCTCTTCCGGAAAAAAGTGAGCACACCAGCCTCCTTTCGACAATTGCTCTCTTGGGAGCTCTCACGAATAGGGAGGAAGCTGGAGCATACGCGTCGGTTCTCCTTGACAGCCTCGCCCACGTGAACTGGGAACTCGCTTCCCCACAGTCTTGCCACGAGTTGTTTGGCATGGTGGAGATGCACTCTAGCGATGGAGTCCTCAATGACGGAACAAAAGCTGCCGTTGCACGCGCTAAGCACGATCTTGCTCTGCGCAGTGGCCGACTCTCGCTGCTCTTGAACTGTCTTCTCGCGCAGGACAGCACGCTCGAGCTCGGGCCTGAGGTGCTCCCGTGCACGACACCATCGCGTTGCGTTTGCGTTTCCGCCACGACGACCGCGAGCTTTCTCGTGAAGACACTCGTTTTGCCAGCGCACTTTCGCATCAAAGACACTCTGCGCTGCTTCTTCAGCGACCGCACGGCACGCTTTCTGGGGAACACGCACGTTGCACACTTTGAAGCGATGGGCACAATGGAAACCCGCTTTTTGCAGCGCGGCACCGAACCACTTCCAGGCGGCCGTGGTGATGTGGTGCTGTACGTTAGCCCCACCTGCGTGCTTCGCATCAAAGCAATTGGGCGGGACGAGCAGTACTGGCACTTTTCGACGCATCTCCATGACAACACCGCCAAAGAAAAGGTACACCACGGACGATTAGCCCTCCGGACGGCGGGTCTCCCGTTCTCTGAAGTGCGGTTTCACTTTTGCATCAGCGAGGCCATATCTCTATGCTGTATGGTCTCCTCTCACCCGCCACAGCGGACACGTGGCAGCATCTATGTGGGCGAGGTCGCTATCAGCGCCCTTCATAATGCCACACGAAAGGACGAATTTGCCACCATGGAACTGAAGCCGCTTCTCCGCTCTCCGGTCCTCCATTGCGGCTCAGGGCAGCACAAGGCGTTTCACTTCACCAAGTCAGTTTCTGTCTCGATTGGGCGAGTCACCTTAAAAGAGCTGTTTCACCCTTTTTGCGTCGAAATGTGGGTCTTTCCCCGCAGCGTTGACAAGGATCAAACGTTTCTTTCCATCGGCGACAAGGGAGTGGATGAGGTCCTTCTGGGGTTGGAACTCGTCGGGAACGGAGTACGGTGGCGCGGCGGCGCGCGAACTCCGCGGCTCGGCTCCTCCTTTGCAACTTTCACTTCACCAGGGAAACTCGTTGTGGTGGAGCGATGGTGGCACGTGGCGCTGAATTTCGACGGCGCCACATGGGAACTGTGGCTCGACCACGAGTTGGTCTCTCGGCAGCCAGCGCTCGTCTCGCCTCAGGCGATCGCGGATGCGAAGTGTGTCGTGGGGAAGAGCTTCATTGGCATGGCCGCGGAGGTGCGCGTCTGGCAGCACACGCGGACCAGCGCGCAGCTGATCCGTGACGCACGCCGTCCTCTTAGTGGAACCGAAGACGGCCTGTGCGGGTATTTTCCTTTCAACGAGGGACACGGTAATGTCATCATGGACTACGCGCCGCACCACGAGCACGCTCTTCTGCCGTTTGGAGAGCCCTACTGGTGCGCGGTGGACACTGTTCCCGTGCTGGCCGACCCGCGCAGCGTACTCTACGTCGCTGACTTCGTCCCACTCGCCTGGATTGAGGAGGCAGACGAGGTATTTTTTGCTGCGTCGTCGGAGTCGTACACGGTCGCCGGTGTGCGCTCTGATCACACGCTGTGCGTCTTCGATTACGCCTGCGACGACCACCGTTTGGTGTCGCAGCGCACCGTGGAGCTGCCGAGTGAGTGGACCATCAAGAGCGTCTCGAGCCACGCAACTCGTGCTTCCCTGGTGTGCTGTGCCGTCGTAGCAAAGCCCACCGCCGCCGTAGGAGCGGCGGAAGCGAGCGCCGCGGTGCAGGTGTGTTTGTGGGAGATGTGGGCATACGTGGGCTACGTGGAGGCGACACAACCAGTTCCGTACACGTCGACGTGGTCGTGGGGGAAGGCCGTGCTGACTCGCAGCGCCCGCCATGCGCAGCGCTATCTCACCGCGGTGCAGTTCTTGACAGATCACTCGTCGTGGGCGGCGTCGGTGCCTCCTTTTGTGCTCGACCAAGATGACGAAGTCCTGATGTTGCTCCTTCGTCTCGCGCGGCGTGCATTGGCGCTGACGCCGCCGCAGGACCTTGTGCTGGCGCAGCAGGCGTCATGCCTGCTTGAGCTGAATTTGCTGACACGCTTCTACAATTCCCCTCAGCAGTTCGCCCAGCGCGTGGGTCGGTGCTACAGCAGCGTTGAGCAGCTTCTGCAAAGTGCAGAGGAGGTCGAAGAGGACGGCAAGAACAATATAGGGCAACGTGACACTTTGACACCGCCGCTGCGGGAAGCCGTCACGCGACTGGCGTTGCAGCCTGCGTTTGTTCAGACCTGTTCCTCCTCCGCGCTGCTCCGCTGCTGTTGCCAGTGCTTCTTGGACGAGTCCCGCCGTGTTGAATTCCTGGAAAAGCACGCCGGCAGGCAGCGAACCGCTGCCGTAAACACGATGTATGCCTGTCTCCTTTCGCTTTACAGCTCGCTGCATATTTCGTACGACCTTCTGGCTTCCTTGCCAGCGGAGCGGCTATCCGCGCTCTTCGCCGCGTTGTTCCGTGAGGCCATGTTCTATGTGGCGCACGCCTTCCGTGCGCAGAGCACGGAAGGGCTGCAACGCACCAGTCACTGCCTCGAGGTCATGGCGGAGGTGCTTCACGCAGGCGGTGGGGACGCCAGTGGCGGTAAGGATGTGGATGGCGGGGCGGTGCGACGTGAGATACTGCAATGTGCGTTCAGCACCGCCCTTCTCAAGTGCTGCGGCAAGATAATCGACGCCGTTGCGGCGTCGCTGCGGCAGAACAACAGCGCGGAGCCCACTCTTCTCCGTTGCCTCCAGCTGAGCCCCGTCGGCGCACTACTCGCTTCTTTTTCCGTCTCGCTGCCGCTGTTGCCCACGTCGGCGCTGGAGGCGTGCGCGTCGCATCTGCAGCGGTGTCGCGAGTCTCTCCTCGTGCTGATGGATCAGTTTCCCTCCGAGGAGGCGAAGCGGTGGGCGTCTCGCCTGTGCGTAGCCATCACGTACTCTCTCGCGCAGCTCGGCTGCGCGCTGCTCGACCCGCGTCCCACCGCACAGCAGGTGGCAGCTGCCCGCCACACCGCATTGCTCAACGCGTCGTCGTCTTCCGACGTTGCCCAACCGGCGTACCTGAGTCTGCTCCGTAACGGACAGCGCAAGTCTAACACGGAGCGCGACACGTTCATCAAGAATCTGCAGGGCGGCGTTGGCGCCATCAGCAAAGCCTTCGACGAACTGCAGAGGAAAGATGTTTCGGCGCTGCGAGTAGTGCGTGACGAGGAGCTGCGGGAGATGGAGCGGCAGGTGATGGCAGCGTGTTGCGCGTTGCTGCTCCCGACGAGCGCGATGCGGGACGCGAGCAAAGAAAATCTCCAGCCTGCCTTTCAGCTGGTGCTCAAGTTGCGCCCCTGGGTGTTATCCAAGAGGCAGGAGTCGAAGGCGTACGTGGCGACGGTGCGGGAGCGGGCCGTGTTTCTCGCCCTCTTTGAGCCGATCGCTGACATGGAGGAAGACGATGTGGCAGCAGCAGTGCACCCGTCAGCCGCTGCTGGGTCCGCTGCATCGGCTAAGCGAACCGCTATCGCCACCGCAGATCCGCGCGCCGCCCGCGCTGCAGAGCGGAAACGCTGGCAGAAGCTCTATAAGAGCTGGAAAGCCATGCGCCAACTGAAGGCGCTCATGGCCTCGCGCGAAGATATGGCCGACATGAACGCCAGCGCTGAGGTGATGGCTTGCTTTCAGAGCGAGGTGAGCACAGAGGAGATGAAGACGGCGGTATCGTGGCGGTCTGAAAAGGCCAGGTACCGCTTTGTCGGGTTACAACTGCTGTGGGAGCTCACCGAAGAGGCATGTCGGAGCGTCCTGTTGGCGCGGGTGCTGCACCCGGTTATCGCGCGCGCCTTGTGCGGCTGGCACTATGCCGATGGCGTTGATGGCTGCTCGGTTGAGCAGCTCACCCGTTTGCAGAGCGCGTTTTTCCACTTAATGCGGGCCGCGGTGAAGGCGTACACGCTCGTGCAGGAGACCCAGCCGTGGGGGCTGCTTCTCTCCTCCTTGCTGTCTTGTCCGTTTCGCCGCACGGACTTTCGACGGTTGCGGACCGTCGGCGTGTCGGCGGATCTGCTGCGTTGTCTCTGGGGCGCCGAGGAGTCTCGAGAGGTGCTGTATCAGTGCGTGAACGGTGATGTGCCGGCGGAGCTGCGTACGACCAAATTGCGGCCAGAGGGCTGCGCGAGTACGATGACAGTGGGCGCGGCAGGTCTCACCCTGCGCTCCTCGGGATTCCGCGGCAGTTGCGTTGCACCGTGCACCTGGACCGCGCCGCAGCGAAGAGAAAAAGCGCGCGCGCTTTCTTATTACTACGAAGTCCACGTCGTTGACGTTTACCAGGGCGGCTACGTCAGCATCGGCCTCGGCCCCGCAGATTACAGTCTTTCGCAGATGCCGGGCTGGGATTCAGACTCGTTCGCCTACGACGGGTTTGAGGGATCCATCTACGCCAACCGCAGTCCGCACGTCATCGGCTCGACGTTTGGCATGGGCGACGTCGTCGGATGCGGGTGGAACATCGACACAGAGAAGCTCTTCTGGACGCGGAACGGTAAGCTGGTGCACTCCCTCAAGACGACACCCGCCACGACGCAACTCTGCCCCCTCATCGGCATGAAGGGAAAGGGCTGTGTGCTGGTCAATTTTGGGGCGAGCCCGTTCGCCTACCAGGCATGGGGCTCACCAGTGTCGACGCCGGCAACGTCACAACGGGTGTTGCTAACAAACGCGCTTGACGCGGCCGGTGTGGTCCGCGATGGATGGGACGCGTTTCGCCTACTCTCTACACGCGCCGCGACGACGTTAGCCGCGGCCTGCACTCAAAGGCCGGAGGTATCAACGACGTCGTTGATCGAGCTGGCACAGCCGGTGGGCAGCTGTATTGACGCACTCGTCGCCGCGCTCGCCCCTGCGTCGGCTGCTCCGCTCTCGCAGTGCACCCTCCCAGCACGGTTCGTCACGACACTACTGGGCCACCTGACACTGCTGTGCAAGCTACTCCGCGGCGTGCCGGATGGCGTGAGCGCGCCGCACACCTCCGCGCTTGCCACGTTGTTAGAGACAATGACGAGGCGATGGCTGCTGACGACGTTGCGTGCCGCCCCGTTCAACGAGGACGAGAGCGAGGCCGTCACGGCGCTTCTCACGACATGGTATCACGCAATGTACCTCACCCCTCCACCACCAGTACCAGCACCAACACCGTCGGCAGCAGCGAAGGAGGCTCCGTCGAATACGGCGTCGCCACCCCACAGCTTTCTTGACATCCTTCTGCAGTTGGCGAGCTGTGTCTTGACGTCGCAGGACACACGCATGTCTGCATCCGGAACGCGTCACGAACCGGAGACAAACTCGTCCGTAAGCGCGGTGACATCTTGCGACACGGTACATTGGCTCGCGCTGGCTCTCCTGCAGCGCCTCAACAATGATCAAGACGAGCGTGGGTGTCATGCGTGGCGAGAAGTCTTGCAACAGTGGCTACACACCGCTTTTAAAAAGTGCACTCCAAACATTTCGACATGCGGCGGCAAGGCGGCCGCTGTCGTGGCGAGCCCAAGTCGCGACGCGCTGCTTGGTTTGGCCGTCCTGGGCGGTCTCCCAAGACTTGCTGTGCCAGAGGACACCGTCATGGCCGTTCTTGGCACACATCTCGTTTCCCCCGTCACGCTGCTGCGTACGTTGTGGTCGGAAGAAATCTGTGAGGTGCTGGAGGTTAACGCATCTGACACGACGGCCTCGACGAATGCGGCCCTCAACCTTTCCGGTGCGTCGACTTCGTCATCCTCCGCGTACGCAGTGAAGAGGCTTCCCTTGCGTTTTGTGCACGTCACTGTGCAAGGCGACGCTCCGGGCGCGCTGACCTTTCCACTTAAAGGCAACCCGTCTCATGTATCGCTCGTCGACGCCGTTGTTCAGCTGGCACAACAGTGGTTCCCTCTGGTGAGCTCACTGGCTGCCGCTCGTGTGGGTGAGGACATGTGCTGCCTTGTGGCGCAGCTATCGTGCCTGCTGTTGCGCTGCGTGGAGCGTAGGGTCATTGTCTTCCCCCCAAAACTCACCCCGTCGTTGTCTGCCGTGATCGGGATGACGGAGGAGGCAGCGCCGCCAGACATGAACGAGGTGCAGCTGGAGCTCGTGCTGAGCTTGTGGGGGCTTTTGCAGTATCGTCAGCGAAGAGGCCTGTCACGCGGTGTGAACAGCGCACAAGCAGATCGCAGCGGCACTAACGAGGGTGTTGAACGGCCCGTCTCGAGCTCTGTTTTAGGTCGAGGCCTCGTCCGTGTTGGGTCGGCCACCACGCCAGAATTCACCGCTACCTCCCTGCGTTTGCGCACGTTTGCTGCGCTGGACCTCCTCCAGCAGCGCGAGCTAACGGACGGCCCTGCGGAGCCGACGATGGAGTACGACGACAACGATGCAGACGCAGAGGAGGAGGACACAAACGGCGACGAGGACGAAGCGGAGATGGACACGATGCGGGCGTACGGACAGCAGCAGCAGCGCCGCGTTTCCAGCGGCAACGACGACGACGGCGAGGATGAGGAGGAGGATAGCGAAGACAACGACGGGGCTGGCGCTGCTCGTGGCGCCGCGCACCAGATCGGAGCCGCCGTCGGCGCTATTACATCGATGGCGCGCTATCAATCGCAGCTCTCCGCCTCATCCTCCTCGGACTCTTTCCTCCACCCGGCTGAACGAGAGGTGTTTGACACGGTCCATTTCAACGGCGGCTGCGTGCGTGTGCGTGGCAACACGGCTGTTGGGCTCAGTTTCACCGTGGACGTCACGCTCCGCTTGACGAACAAGGAGCGGCACCAAATTCTCTTTGCACAAATCCTTCGCGGTAGCCCCACCGCCACTTCACCTTCCTCATCGCCTTCTTCTTCGGATGTATTGGAGCTGGTTGCTCGCGTCGTGCACAGCAACATCGAGTTTGGCTGGCTGCCGTGCTTCCCCGGTGAAGAGGCGCAGTGCGACCCTGCCGACCCCTCGAGTTTCTGCGCCTTCGCGTTGGCGGAGGAGGACTTGCGTGCATGGATGCACGTGACCTTTGTGCAATCCGGCACCACGCTTTCGCTCTTCCGCAACGGCATGTTGATGGACACGCGCACCATGAAAAACGGTGGCGGACCGCTCTTTCAAGAGGAGTTTCGGCTTGGCGGCGTGCCGGGGCAACTCGACTCTACCGCGTTCATTGGGGACATGCGCAACTTCCACGTGTACGAGCTGGCGTTGCGGCCCGCCATGGTGGAGCAGCTGCACCGACTAAACTCCTCCTTGTCGACTTTCCTGGATGCGCATGTCGCACTTTCGCTGAAGGCGACGCGGAGCGGGGTGGAGAACACCTCCAGGCCCCTCGCTGCTCTGGTACTGGGCATCACCGCGGAGGGCGACGTCGTCTACTTGGACGAGTCTGGCGTGGCGGCGGCGCAGCGACGGCAGGTCCGGCAGACGTGCGCGCAGGAGGTGGACTTCAGCGCTGAGTCAGAGGAGGCGGAGATGCGCTGCCTCAGCGAACCGCTGCCATCGCAGCAGTCTGTCCTGTGGCGCAGAACACGTGGGCTGCCTCGAGATCAACTTCTCACCGCATGCAGTGGGTATTACCGGCAGCTCGCGGCCTTCCACGGCGCGCACCTGCTTGTCCACGCGCTGTGCAACGTGGCAAAGTCGCCCGACCGTCTTCCGTCACCGGTGCTGCAGAGCGTCGTGGAAACGCTGACGGACGGGGCCTGTGTGGATCGCCTGGTGCGCTGGGCCGTGTCGGCGTCCAACGAGACCATGTCGACGCTGCTGGGCGAGGTGTGGGCAAGTTTATGTGATAACGGTGGTGGTGGCCAGCAGGGGAAGCGCCCGAACGCGGGTGCGCTGTGGGAGATGGGCGACTCACTCCTCGCGGAGCTGCTACGCATCGCTCAGCAACCGCAGCACCTCTTCACGTTTGAGTCGGCCCATCCGCAGCGGCCCTTCGCGTCTGACGTGTACGAGGTCAACGTGCCCGATCAGCGCTCCTACGGCGTCTTCATGGATGAGCGGAGCGTAGCGCGGTGGCGTCTGGTCACCGTCTCGCGCGATCGGACCATGAGCACGGTCTTGTCGGAGTTTTACACGACGATGCTCTCCTCCTTTGAGGTTCGGCTGCCGAAGTTTTTTGTGACGGTTCGCTCCGCTGCGGAAGCCGCCAATTGGGGACATCGTATGACGGTGGTGCACGACTACCAACTACAGCTCCGCGCCATGCGTCTCTTCCGCAGCGCGTTGTCCGCCGTGCTCAGTGTTCCCAATACCGCCGCCACCCCCACCGCGTACATTTGGTCAGTAAACTGCTTAACGGCGTTGTGTGCGGTAGCCCAGCGGAACACGAGCAAGACGCGGCTTCTCGCCCTCACCTGCCTCAACGACTTATTCCTCTTTGGGCAGCGCTACGATACGGTGCCACCCCCGCTGGCGATGCCGCAGCTGATGCACAACATGCGACGCATGGCGGTGCGCCACTACCGGCGGCGTCTCTCCACCCAGCGCGTCCTCGGCCGCTTCATTCAACTCAGCATGGAGAGCCACGTGATGCAGCGGGATGCGGCACAGTGCTGGTACACCTTGCATGACCCCAAGACTCACGGCGGCAGCAGCAGCAACGGCGTACGTTGTCTTGGCACCGTGCCAGCGAGCGAGGCAACGAGCGCTCTCGAGCGCCAAGCTTCCGCGCCGCGCGGCGCACCAGCCGGAGTTTCTGCTGATGCTGCTGTTGTTGTGGCTGCCACGGACGCGGATGCGGAGACGACGCGGTTTGCGCAGCAGCGGCAGGAGCAGCAGCAACTGTATCGCCAGCGTGACAGCAGCGAGGATCGTGTGTCCATCCAAAAGCTGCGCGTCTCGCCTAACTTTGAGCACATGTGGCTCCCGGAAGGCCTATGCGTGCTGCGCGGTGATGGCGCTGGCGGGTCTGTCATCGCCGCTGCACCGCTGACGGCGGGGAGGTGGTACTTCGAGGCCCGTGTGGGCGGAGCCGGAAGCATTTCCATCGGCGTGCTGCCCATCCTGGTGCCTGCTGGCGAGGAGTACGAGATGCCGTTTCCGCTGACGCGAGCTACGCTGCAGGATCGCGAGCCCGTTGCCTTCAACGGTTGCAGTGGCGTCTTCAACGACGGGGCGGGGCAGCGGTGCCTTTTTGCCTCCGACGCGCTGCCTCTCTGGTGCAACAAGGACTTTTTGGGTGTTGTCGTGGACGTCCCTGCGCAGCGCTGCATCATCCTCGTGAACGGCGTAGAGGCGGTGCACTTCTCTTTTGGTGCGGAGGCCGCCAACGAGAATGCGGCTGCCGTAACTTCTTTCGGTGATGTGGCGTCGTCGTCGTTTGGACAGTCTCCCCTCATGGGCGAGTTTGACGGGCTGCGTGTGTTGAACAGTGTTGGTGCTTCCGCTGGTCGTGCAAGTAGTACGTTCCCTACCCCTGCCTCCGTCGCCGGCAGAAGAGAGACGGCTAGGTCCGTGGTGTACTACCCTTACGTGTCCATCGACCTAGCCACCTCCGTCTCGCTCAACTTTGGCGCGGCGTACTTCGAATATGAGGTGCCCGTCGGCTGCTTGCCGCTGGACCCCACCAACTTGTCCCTCGGCACCGTCTTTCCCTACAACCAAATGCGCTCGTTGCAGGACATCGCCGCCTATCTCTTCACCGGTGGCCGCTATCCGCTCCCGCCGTTTTATTACGAGGAGGCCGACCCTTTTGCCGGCTCAATTGAGCGCGTGGGCCCGGCGCACGTCTCGGTGCACGCCTCTGCCAACGTGCAGGTGAACATGGAAGAGGTGAAAAACATGGGGCTGGCCTTTGAGACCGTCATGGGCGATTGCGCTGTGAGCGCCGGTGCGTGGTACTACGAGGTCACCCTCCGCACCCAAGGCGTGCTGCAGATCGGCTGGATGGAGAAGGGTGAGACGCTGCACGGCAACGGCCACGGCGTCGGGGACTCCTCCACCTCCTGGGCGGTGGACTTGTTCCGGCGCGTGATGTGGCACCGCGGGGTGCCGGAACCGGTGAACATTCCGCGTCGATGGACCGCCGGGGATGTGCTGGGCTGCGCCTTCGACATCACCCACGGCGAGCTCAGCTTCTTTCTGAACGGGCGACCCATCACCGGCGTTCTCGCCCTCAAGGCGGATTCACCGCTGCTGGAGGCCTGCACGTTCCAGGGGGTCCCGCAAGGGCGGTACTACGTGCCCGCGGTCTCGCTTCGCTCCGGTAGCGCCATCAGCTTCAACTTCGGCTCGTCGCCGTTCAAGTACAAGCCGGACGGCTTCAACCCGCTCGGGGTGCCGGACTCGTGGAATGAGCGGATGGACGCCTTTTACAACAACGCGCCTGCGGCCAGCACCATGCGGCGGCTGATGGCGATGCAGGAGGTGTGGCGGGTGCTGAGTCACGCGCACCGCACGTTGGATCTCGCTGCAGGAGCAGGGGCGGCCGAAGGACGCGTCTCTTCCCCTGCAGCGTCAACGTCACACAGCATGGACGACTTGGAAGCTCACCTCAAGCCTTACCGCCTAATTGTGCACGCCACCGACAAGTTCTCCGACGACGGCATGAACGCCTTCACGAAGAGCAGCGAAGAGCAGCTGAAAAACCACCTCATGAACTACTCCTACCCCGAAACCACCGTCACGGAAGCAAAGGCGATCGCAGAGCAGTCGTGGGAGATGTTCAAAGTTCTCAAGGCGGTCAGCAACGTCACGAACGCACTACTGCCGTTTCTCTCGTTAAACATCCCCCACCCATCGCTCATGACACTCCTCTTTCTCACCATTCGAACGCTGCTCTTCAGTGCAGTGCGTCGCGACCTGGTCGAGAGCGTTCTGGCGGTGTCCTCTCTGCGGTCGGAGCTGTACCGCATCTCCATCAACCGCGCCAAGGCACACGCCGATACGCAGTCGGTAAAGGCGTCAGTGTTCGGCCAGACCTTTGCCTTGCTAGGCAGCCAGCCGCCACGCATCTTCCAGACGCGGCAGCGCTTTTGGAACACCGTCTTTTTAGGCGAGGGTGCTGAGGACGCCGGCGGGCCGTTTCGCGAGCATCTCAGCGAGATGTGTCGGGAGTTGATGTCGACCCGCCTGCCCTTCTTCGTGCCGACGGCGAACCACGTGCACAACACGGGCAGCTACCGCGAGGCCTTCGTGCCCGCCGCGTCCGCCTGCACCCCGTATGATCTTGAGGCTTTTGTGTTCATTGGCCGGCTCATGGGCGGCGCCTTCCGCAGCGAAGACCCGCTGGACCTTTTCTTGCCACCGCTCGTGTGGCGCTACCTCTGCGCATACCCCATCACAGAGACGGAGGTGGAGCAGGTGGACGCGATTTGCGTGCAGTGCGTTCGCGAATTTCGCAAGCTCGCTGCCTCTCCAGGCGGTGCGCCAGCGGAGGAAGAAGAGGGCGGCGGTGACGAGGGGAGCGCTGCGGAGCTCTTCGAGGACGTCTTCGGCGAGGAGTACTTCGTCACCCAACTCAGCGACCACTCGACGAAGGAGTTGGTGGAAGGCGGGGCGCAGGTGCGGGTGACGCTGCGGCGCAGTTACGAGTACGCCGAGGCGTTGCTACACGCGCGGGTGCACGAGTTCGATGTGCCGCTACGCAAACTGCGCGAGGGACTACTGTCGGTGGTGCCGGAAGTGGCGGTGCTACTGCTGACGCCCGCCGAGCTGGAGCGCCGCATCTGCGGACAGGCCGACTACAAGCCCGAGGAGCTGCGAAAGGGAGCTTTTTACGAAGGCTTGACGAGTGAAGATCGGCGGGTTCAGCTGTTATGGAAGGCGCTGGACGCAGCCACACCTCTGCAGCGCCGGCTTTTTCTCCGCTTCGTCTCGGGCCGCGATCGGCTGCCCATCAAGTTACGCGTTCTCCCCCTCACCACACAGGCCGATCCGGACACGATGCTGCCGCGCGCGGCGACGTGCTTCTTTGCGATCGAGCTGCCCGACTACAGCTCGCTCGACGTGATGAAGCAGAAGTTGTTTTACAGCGTCGAAAACTGTGCGGACATGGACACCGACTTCAACGCGCGCATTGTCGACCAAGACGAAGCACCGCAGCTGTCTGTCGCGCTGGAGGACGCGCAGCCCCATTTTATGACGCAGCTCAATTCCGACGAGGATTAGTATCTTCTCTCTTTTCCTTTCTCTTTGTTTGCCTCACATGTAGATACCGTAGAGCAGTGCCTTCTCCTGACTTCAAAAAGCCAGCTTGTCGAAACTGCGTTCTCTCTGAAATTTCTTACCGCTTATGTGCATCACCTCGCGTGGTTTGTTGAAGCCACGTTATTATGCTTTTTGTTTTTGTGTTTTCTACCTGTTTGCTTTTGCATCTGCTTCGTTGGCTGTTCGGAATTGTCTGTAGTTTGGAAACAAGAAAAACGATCAACAGAAAAGGGCGGAGGAAGAAACACGGAAACACAGAAGTGTTTCGTGGAAGCCAAAACTGTTCGTTGCGTTTCGTTGTTCTACTGAACGTGGCGTTTGGCTGTCTGGCGCACTGGACAACAGAACACGGAAAAGCAGCTGATAGCATGTTTTTTTATTATTGTTTTACGTCTTTGATTTGACTTCAGAATGAGAGAATACAGTCCTTGTGATCTCCTCTACGCATCTTCTCCCGTTTTTTCTCTTCCATCTGGATTGTGCGTCACGGCATACTCCTGCTTCGTTTGAAATCACAGAATCGAAGTTCACCAATACACCACTCTAGTAATAGCAGCTGAAAAGCGCTCGACTTCTCGCTGTTGCTCCCGCACAAGCTCTCTTTCCTTTTCGGTTTCAAACTGTTGGCTCTCTCTCTCTCTTGCCGGTTTGTTCCTCGCTACAAGTCTCTCTTTCTCTTCTCTGCGTGTCTATTCTCACAATAGCAGAATTTGATTCTTAGCTGGCTTCCTCTTATCTTTTACTGGCTCTTCAAAGTAGAGATCATCAACTTTTTTGCCGATAACTGGCTCTTGTCGTGATTCCGGCGTGTCGTGTAGCGTTTGCGTTCTTCGCTTTTGTGGCATAACATATATTTTTTGTACGGTGATCTCTTCGTTTTTCTTTTCTTTTCAGTTCCCTGAACTACCAGCGCGAGTGCTTTTCTCTTGTTTCTCTTACGGTTCAATTTCTTTCATTTGTCTGGTCTTCGTCTGTGTTTGGCCATCAACCCTCAAAAAAAAAAAAAAAATCAAAGGATAAAAACATAACAACAAAAATAAGTCTACGAGCAGAATAATAAGCTTCGCTGAAAACGCACCCAACAACGGTCAACGTCAACAAAAGGAAAGGCCCTCGTTTCCATTGCGCTCTGTTCCCTTTTTAGATTATTGTTCAACGTGATTTACTGCATCAAGTGCAAACCCTCACAGCCGCCAGCAGCCATAGAAGGATAATTGCCGGCTCGACCTCTTCTTAAAGAAAAAATCACAACCAACAACAAAAAAGCAGATTTCTCCCCTCGTAATATAAAGACCTTTTTTTAGCTTTTCCTTTCTTCCTCGTTTAAAATCAAAGGCTAAACACTCTTCTTTGCAGCGGTAGGCACGCAATTTGTTCTGCAGGATTGATCTTTTGAGATTCACCGCGTTTTTTCCTCTTTCTTTACGCACGCTTGCTTCCTCGAATTGTTGTCACTGCGCAAGAGCAAGTATTTCTGCGCTGCTGCCGAATTGTGTTGTGTGAACACGTGCGCGCCGTTTTCGATCGCTTTTTCCTCCTTGTGTTTAATCTTCTGTGCTTTGCTGAGAGGTGCAGTGGTTCGTTTTCTCAGACGAAAATCCACAGCTGGTTTTCCTTTTCTTGTTTTTTAGTAGCGACTGTCGCTGCTGTATCTCATTTGCTGCTTCGGTGTCGCCAGTCACACACACGCACACTCGTTCCAAAATGAGCGAGGTTGTCTATACGTCGGGCAACCCGGTTGGTGTGGTGCCGTTTCTCACCGCCCTCACCGACTACCAAAAGAAAGGTGTCGGCGTTGACATGATGCTGAAGGCCTTGCTGAACGTGTCGCGACTCTGCATGCTCTATAGCACCAATCTGGGCGACAAGAGGAAGTTTTTCAAATTGGCAGACACCATCGTAGAGTGCCGTATGCTGTGCAACTTTGGTCGTCCAGTCATGACGTTCCACCAGGCCATGTCCGTGCTGGGAAAGAGGAGTTATATGGAGTTCTGGCACTGCCTTTTCACCTGCCTCGCCTTCTTCCTCCGCGTCCCGGAGCAGCTCAGCGGCGACATGAACTTCTTGCAGAAGGTAGTCTTCCGCAGGTGGAGCCGTGAGAAACTGTCCTTCTGTTACCGATTCTTCAAGTCGTGGTCGCTGACGTGTGGCTTGCTGGCAGAACTCACTCGGCGTTCGGCGCTGAAGCGCGCGGTTCGCAGCGCCGTCACTCCTGAAGAGAATGTGCACACAAAACTGGAGCTGCAGGTGTCGAATGCATTGATTATCCGGACACTGTGCGACATGTACGTCTACTTCAAATGGATTCCCGGGTACGAGCCCATCAAGGCGGTCGAGTACTCCTGCGGCCTCGCATCAGGCCTGATTGGGGTGTTGTTGGTGTGGAAGGACACCCGTTACGTGCTGCCGCCCATGGCAAAGGACGTGCAGCCTTGCGAGCGGTGCGGTCATAAGCACGCGCTTCAGCGCGCTGTGTGCGTGTTAGACAGTGAGGGCGGCGGTAGCGAGGGTGGTGCTAGCGCGGATGAAGAGTAAATGTAGTACCTACTACTTGCATCATCATCAGCGAAGCGGCGGCCTACCTGACTCTTTTGATAGCGTTTCCCGCAGCCAGCACTTTTCTCTTTTTTATTTTGATGGTGGCACCACACGTGGGGTGTGCTTTCCCCCCCCCTCCAACACAATACCAACCACAGCACGCCCACGCGCACAAAATCGTGCTTCAAAAACTCGTGCTGCCAAATGAATATCCTCTCCTTTTCACTAACTTACACGGACTTACATATAATAAAAGAAGTGTGATGCAACCAAGTTAACGTTTGTGGTCATTGACAGCGGCATGCGAGGTGGAGATGAAAAGGAGTGAATGACCAGGATGTTGAGCTGTGCTTGGGGTTGAGCAAAAACTGCCTTCTTTCTTCCTTGGCTAAGCGGGTGTCGCCTCTGTCAGCGCGTCTTGATGAAAAAGATCGTTGCACGAGACGCCCCACAAATTTGGTTTCCCTTCTGGACTTTTTTTTTCTCTCCGGCCTTTTCATGCCACTCATGTGGCAACGACGACAACAAAAGTATGGAAACATATTTTGCTAGTGTAAATAAGTATTGCTAATTCTATGTTGAGGAAAAGAAAACATATCAGCGGGCATAAGTCATTGATTTTTCCCCCTTTTTTTCTTTTCTGACCGTTCGTTGAACTGACCATTTACTGCGTAACAAAGGATATCTAGCAAAGCCACGAGACACACGCTAAACTCGTTCGCGGCGCCTCGCGCCAACGACGAAGTGCAAGTAGTATTCTGTACTCTTGTGAGTCGGAATACGTTTACACTTCATCTTTCCTTCTTTTTTTCCCCCATTTTCCACTAGCAGAAGTAGGGAAGCGTTTGGCACAACTTGCTTGCAGGACAGCGTACGTTCGGGCGAAAGCGAGAAAGGGGGAAAAAGAAGCATTATTTTCTCCCGCTCTCCTGCACAATTCTGTGTATTTGCGGTTTTTGGCGTTACTAACCCTCCCTTCGCGCGTATTGTGTTTTTTTTTTTGACTTTGTATTCTTCTCTCACGCTGTCTTGTACATGAGGTGGGATGGTGTCTCTTTATAGGTTAGGCGAGACAGCGACGGAGAAGGGGAAGGGAAGGTGTAAAACCCAACAAAAATAATGACAGGAAATGTGAATCCGTAGGAGACGAGAACACGATGCGATGTCTGATGCATCCCATTTCAAATCCGGCAACAATGGCGATTTAAGTACTTAGGTTTTCTTTTTCCTTTTTGGACGCTAATCTTTTGTGTTGTTATGTACGTTGCTGTTCAGGCGTCTCCTTGTCCATTCTTTTGTTCTGCTTTGCTTCCTTTACAGATCACGAGGAGACTTTTGTTTTCAGTGAAGGTTATTAGCGTTGGCTATGTTGTCTTTATATCTTCTTTTTTTTTTAAATGTCCGTGTATCAAAATCAAAATATTTTCAAGGTAACGCTTTTCTCTTTTTTCTTCTTCTTTTTATCTTGGTCGTGTATGGTAGCTGTTTCTCATCGTTCTATATTTCTGTCCATCACCTTCGCGCCGCTCAAATGTAAGACACTTCTCCGTTACGTAAAAGTTATGTTTCTTTTGCGACGTGCCTTTCGCGTCCACGAGTGTCTTTACTTCATTTTCTGAAGCCAGTTTGCCATACATGTTGAGTGACAGCAAAACACTAAAAATACAACAACAACAAAACACAGCCAAACAAACAGAAAATAAGGACATCAGATTAATACGTGGACAAATGCAAGCACAGGGATGCGTCGTGTCGACTCCAGTGGAGCAAATTGGCAAGCATTGAGGTCATTCACAAAAGAAAATCGGCGACGTGAGCGTTGCGGCCTGCATGGTACGCAACCAAACGCACTATGATGAATACATTCAGGCACGAGGAAGGTAACAATAAGGTGCCAGTGCATCTCCTAGCGATGCCTCTTCGCACTTCATCCTCTCCCATCCGAGCTTCTTCTCCTACGATAGCGTTCGCACGACTCCACTGATGGTTTCTGTCATTCTTTCTTTATCCTTTTGTTCTTCGTCTCCCTTCTTTTCCGGTTCGTTTAGCACTCTGATTGATATTTCTTCCAGACTCCATCGGCGAGCGCTTTCCCTTCTGTTGCCGTCGGAAAGTGTTGTCCTGCATCATTTTCTGGCTCTTCATGCAAGCTGAAGTATTCACGCTCACCTAGATACCTTTTTCTTGTTTTCCCTCACAGTTCCCATTACTCTTATTTCAAGTTCAGCGTTCTGCTGGCAGCTTTTCCTAGCGCGAAACACGCGAGAGGGCCCCCAAAGAAGAGTACCAGCAATGAAAAACAGCACCACGACAGCAACAACTGCTGATCATTAAAGGAGACACTCACATGTAGCGTACCTCTTAACCCCAAACAGCGGGATAATAGCACCCCAGGAAAGCACCGGAGTAGCCAGAAACTACCTGCACTGCGCAGGCTCGCAATGCTGTACGCAAGCCGCAAAACAACAAGTAAAAAGGCACTCAACATACTCGTTACTTTTTGCCGCTCTCTACGAATCTTCTCTACTCGTACCTCTTGCCTATGCCTTTCCACTTACTCCCGTCAGAACTTGTAGCGACCGTAGTTTTTCTCTTCCTTTTTTCTGTGTCAAAAAATCGCTTTCTCGCACTCTTTGAAGGGACTGGAGCAAAATCGCCGCCGCCCTCCTTTTTTTTTTTTTGCTTCCATTCCACTATGCAGGCGTTGTTGCTGTACACTTCCCTCTCCGTCTACGCAGCATTTATTCGCTAGAGGTGCACACAGGAGTTAGCTACTTCGCATCACACTGCCTTTTTACCTTCTCTTCAGCTTGCTGTTCGCTTGCTGCACTCCCCTACCGTTTTAGTGTACCTGCGGCGCTCTGTCAACCTTAGCGCCTCAGATTGCGTAAGCGCTGCACAGTCGAAGTACTGACTGTGTTGTACAGCTTTATCCCTTTTGCTAACGTCTCTTTTTTTTCTCCTTCCTATTCTTCAAAAAGATTCCTAAAAAAAAGTCCAAGATGGAGGTGAAGGGGAGCGTCAGCAGCAGCAGCAACCGACACCCGCTGATCGGGCAGCTGCGGCCCATCTTCCATGAACTTGAGACCGCCACCCCGCAAACACTGCCTTCCACCATCCTCAAGCTGGAATACGTGATTGAGGAGGAGAAAGATGCACTATTTCACCGCAACTCGATCAAGTCCTACACGGCGAACGCGCGCGTCTTCCCGAACTGGCTCAACGCACAACTGCGCCACCTCTTCGAGAACCCAAAAACGCACATGACAGGCGTGCAGGTGCTGCGTGCGTTACTTCCCGTCGAGTATGTGGAGCTGAACGAGATGACGAAGCTCTTTTCCGAGCTGCTTGTCCGCTGCGTCTTGGAGACGAACGACTATCAAACTGGCCTCGCCGCTGGCGAGGTGTGGGGGCTTTTGTTGAACAACGGCAGCAGTGTCGTGGAGGGCATCATCAATAACTGTCTGCATTTCTCGCTGGCCCTGCTCATGCGCGGCGGCCACGACGAAACTTTTTTAAGCGAGTCCACCGCTGACGCACGGCGTGTTAGCGGCAGTGGTGGCGGACCGAGCACGTCGTCGGCGCCGTCATCCCTCACCGAGGCGGTGAGACGCGACGATGACAGCTCCGCGACGGACGAGGAGCTCTTCCCTCAAGCAACGAAGCTCTCGGGCTGTCTTTTCATTCAACAGCTTGTGCGCCGCGTCCCGTCGACGATCGCGCCACACGTGAACAGCATTTTGGAGTGTCTGCGACGGGCCATACTAGACACGAACAAGCTGGTCCGCGTTAGCGCCGGCGACGCGTTGTTCCACACCTTAGCCATCTCCTACCGCTCCACCGACCCGAGCTTCTACAGCAGGTGGCAGAACACCTTATTAGAGGACGCAGAGCGCAGTACTACGTACGGGAGCGATGTCGTGCTGCATGGATGCCTTCTGGCGTTTAATGCGGTGCTTTACGCGACTGCCTCGCGTGAGACGGACGGGCGCCACGTCGGCTACTCTCATCAGGGACGCAAGCACATTCTGCAGCTGTGGGCCTTTGTGAACAGCAACCTTGTCCAAACGGCACACAGCAGCGACGTCCGCAAAGAGGTTCTCAACTCGCTGCCGCTTCTCGCCCAGTACGACGGCGCCACCTTCAAGGAGATCACCGTCAAGGGAGTGCGGGCACTGGCGGCGGTTGCGTTTGGCGAGACGAACGGGCCGGACGAGCGCGCCAACGTCTTCCGCGTCTTCGCGCAGCTTTTCACCGTGCTGCCCAGCCTCGTTGTACCCTTTCTCGACCACATGATGAAGTACATTGAGGCCTCGCTGACGCCGCGGCCCAACCGCGACCGCTGCCCAGAGGCCGTCACGTGCTTCGCCACGCTTTCTGGTGTAGAGCCGAATGCGGTGCGACCCTTCCTGCGGCACCTGCTAGGCCCCCTCTTCGCCGGCTCGGTGACGGAGCACTTTGCGCGTGATGTGGCGAAGATGTGCTCCGCCTTTCCGGAGCTGCGCTCGACTTGTCTATCCAAGGTGCTGGAAGCCACGAAGGAGCAGTTGTCCCGCATGCGTAACCGCCCCCGCCACGCGCGCGTCTCCGGCGAAACGGACCACAGCGCCATTGTGCGCAACTTGAGCTCCCTCGGCAGCTTGGACTTCACCGGGTACTCGACGCTGCAGTTTCTCTGTGATGCGGTGATCCGGTATGTGTCGGACCCGCACGAGGAGGTGCGCCGCTGCGCCATCAATCTATGCTTCAAGCTGGCGCTCTCGGGCTGCTCGCAGTCGCCGTGCGAGCGCACCGACGTCGGCGTGGTCATCCACCGCGGTTGCGAGCACATGGGGCTGATCAACACCGTCATCAAGAAACTGGTGAGCGCCGCCGTCGCGGACACCGAGAGCGACATCCGTCTCCACACGCTCGAGCACCTCACCGGGGAGTTCGACTACACGTTGGCGCTGCAGGAGATCTGCGCGGCAATCTTCCCGGCCCTGCACGACCACCACCAGAATCGAATTGCCGCCGTGCGCCTGCTGGGCCGCCTGTCCAGCCGCAACCCGTCCTGCATCCTGCCGATGCTGCGGCGTGTGATGGTGCAGTGTATCGCCGACATCCGCCTCTTCCAGGTGCCGAAGCGGCAGGAGCAGGCGGCGGCGGTGCTGAGCGCCGTGGTCGAGGCCGCCCCTGCCATGGTGCGTCCCTACATCTCGTCGCTGCTGCAGGACTGCGTGCAACGGCTGCAGGAGGACAACCAGGAGGTCCCGGTCCTCACGGCGCTGTTGTCGCTTCTAGGTAAACTGGCGCGGTACGCAGAAGGCGATGACGTCGCCGCTGTGGCTGCGATCCGTCCGTGCGTCATTCAGCACATCTTAGACTCTTCGAGCATTCAGAAGAAGTTAGAGGCGATTCGAGCGCTGGGCGACATCATACGCACTACGAAGGACGTCGACGTGTACGAGACAAACCCGGAGCTGCTGCGCGTGCTCCTTTCGGCGCTGCACGGCGGTTTCAAGGAGACGTGGCCGGTCCGGCTGGATGTCCTGAAGCTGATGGGCATCATCGGCGCCGTCGATCCGGTGCGTGCGAAGGAGATTACGCGGCACCTGCGCGACAGCGGCCTCAGCAGCGGCGCCACGGCGGCCCCCGCCGCCCTCCAGCTCTCATCTTCCCGTGGCGAGGAGGCGATTGTGCAGAACGTGGTCAGGAACGTCCTGAGCGTGCTGCGGCTGCCTTCGCTCTCCGACGACCAGTGCCTCTGCGCGGTGCAGGTGATCGCGAACACGCTCTCCCTCAAGGAGGCGTCGAACGGCTGCCTTATCCCACTGTACCGCGAGATCGTTCAAACCGTGTTGCAGCAAATCACGCAACAAGCGAAGATACGCGAAAACCTGCTGGGCGTCATGACGCGCATTGTGTACCTCTACGGCCAGTACATCCGCCCCTATCTGGATGAGCTCATCACCACCTGCATTGGCTTCCTCATGTCCGCTGAACGCGGGGTGCTGGTGGAGGTGTTGTGCCTGTTGAGCGAGCTGCGCCGATCGCTGCGCGAGGAGTTCCGGCCGTCGCTTTCGCTCGTGCTGCCGCCGCTGATTCAGACTGTTCAGGCGGACGCCGCCCACGCCGGTGAGCCGGCCTTCGCCTTCCTCGTCGAGATGGGCCACCTGCTCGATGACTACCTGCACAACGCTGTGCCGTGCGTGTGTGAGGTGGCGAGTAATCCGGCCTACCCTGTGCCGTGCCGTGCGGCCGCCGTCGACGCCATTCGCCACTTCGCCCGTCGGCTGCCGCGTCTCGTTTTCCACGCGTCACGCTGTGTTCACTGCCTTTGCCGCGTGCTGCGAGAGATGGAGGGCGTCGCGCTCGACGTGCCGCCGCTACCTGTCGCGGGGCCCAGCGGACGAACAGGCAGCAGCATTAGCAGCCACCCCACGAACCACTCCGCCGCCGCCGCAGCAGGTGTCTCCTACACGGGTGACTCCCACGGCGCGAACGCGGCAGCCGCGGCAGACGCGCGCACGCTCGTGGCCGTCACGCTCGACGCCGTGCGCAACGTCGCCCGCAACCTCGGCAGCGACTTCGAGAAGTACACCCCGATGGTCTTTCCCGTGCTCGACGCGTACGGAGAGGACGGCAAGGACGTGAAGTCGTTCGTGCTGAGCACGCTGCGCAGCGGTGGCCGGGTGGTCGCCCCGGAGAACTCGCAGGCGGAGGACGAGGAAGCGGCGGCGCGGTACCGCGTCAACGCGCAGCAGCGGCGCAAGACGGCGCTGGCGGACAACTTTGCGCAGCTTCGCAGCATCCTCGTCTCGCGGGATCGCGAAACGGAGGAGGAGTGGAACGCGTGGCTGAAGCAGCTGGCGGTGGAGCTGCTCCGCTCCAGCCCCTCCAACGCGCACGGGTTTGCCTTTGCCCTCGCCCAGCTGCACGAGCCGTTTGCGCGACACATGTTGCACTCTGCCTTTGCGGCGTGCTACGCGGAGATGGAGCCGCGGACGAAGGAGGTCGTGCGCTCCCTTCTTGGCGTCGTGCTGCGGAGTCAGCGGGTGCCGTCGGAGGTGCTGCAGGAGCTGCTGAACCTCTCCGAATACATGGAGCGACTTGAAATGCGCTTCAACCCGATGGAGGGATCGCATAGCACCTACGCGGGTCTCCTGTTCGACCTCAAGACACTGATGGGCAGCAGCGAACGGTGCAATCTGTACGCCAAGGCGCTGCACTACGTCGAGATCCAGTTCTACGAAGCCACGTACGAGTACGAGCGCAGCTTCATGCGTGGTCAGGCGCACCCCCTGCCGCCGGAGGACTGGATGAAACTGCTGCAGTGGTGCGAAAAGAGCATCTACCTGTGCAACCTGCTCGGCCTGCGTGAGAGCGCAGAGGGCATGCTCAAGTACATCCAACACAACTTCTCCTTTCTCACCGGCAAGCCGCCGTCGGAGCTGCCTCGCATGATGGACGCGCAGCTCTTCGAGAAGCTGCAGTGGTGGTCGCAGAGCTTGCGGGCATACGAAAAAGGGCTGCACGCGGAGCCGAACAAGTTCAGCAACATGGCAGGACTGATGCGCTCGCTGGACAACTTGGGCGACTACGGGCGATTGCTCGAGTCGTGGAAGTTGTTCTTCCCGCGCATCAGCCGCAAGGAGGCATCGGAGCTGGCCCCGTACGGTGCCCACGCCGCGTGGCTGCTGCGCTGCTGGGACGACATGGAGACGATCACGGCCTACATGAGCGACGACGGCTACGTCGGCACCACCGCCGTCTTCTACCGCGCTGTGCTGGCCACCCACAAAAAACAGTTTCACGGCGCCGTGCCCATCATCCAGAACTGCCGCAAGCGGCTCGACTCGACGCTCTCCGCGTTGGTTGCTGAAAGCTACGACCGCGCCTACGGCCTCTTTGTCGGCATTCAGCAGCTGAGCGAGCTCGAGGAATTTGCCTTTGTGGCGAAAAACCCGCAAGGCTTGAACCACTGGCAGGAGCTATGGGAACAGCGACTCGCTGCGATGGCCTACGAGGGCTGGCCAGGCACGCTGGCCGACCACACGCTGGTCATTCCACCATCGCAAGAGTTGGACATGTGGCTGCGCTTTGCGGCGCTGTCCCGCGTGCACGGCCGAGAACGCACGTCGCGGGACGTCTTGTTCGACCTGCTCGGCGAGCAGACGATCGCCACGGCGCTGGAGCAGGACAAGCTGCCGCAGCCCACCATCGCCCTCGCTGCCTTTCAGCACATGTACGAATTGCAAGAGCGGGAGAGGGCGGTGGAGACGCTCGACACGTACTTGAAAAAGATGGATAAAGTGGGCATGGCAGCAGCAGCAGCAGCGGCTCCAGCGACCTCTCCTGTCTATGCGAGTGGCAGCCAAGCAAGTCTGGCGATGTGTCACTCGAAGCTCGCCAGCTGGCTCTTCACGTTGGCAAAGAAGAAGCACAGTTTGGACACGGACTACCGCAATTACATCCGCCATCACCTCGAGCGGGCGACGAGTCTGGACAGCACAAACGGCTCCATCTGGCACACATGGGCGCGATTTAATCACGACCTCGTCAGCCACCGGTGGCGCAACAACAACACCGCCGCCGCCGCCTCCGAGCTGCGCCGTGAGGAGCACGTGAATCACATCGTCGCCGCCATGGACGGCTATGTGCGCAGCGTGTGCTTTTCGCAGGAGCTGGAGGACGTGTTGGGATTTCTTTCCCTGTGGTTCAGTCACGCGGCTCTGCCGCAGGTGCAGAACAATGCCGCCATGCATGCCCAGATCTTGCAGGTCAGCCCCACCGTGTGGCTGAAGGTGATTCCGCAGATCATCGCTCGTCTGCACGCGCGTGACCCGGTCGTGTCGGAATCCGTCTTCCACCTTCTCGCGATCGTCGCCAAGGCCCACCCGCAGGCACTTCTGTACAGCCTCAACGTCACGCTAAACTCCAGCGTGCAAGGCCCTGACAACAACGCAACGGAGCAGATGGAGCGCAAGCAGGCGGCGCAGCGGCTGCTGGGGCGCATTAAGGAGATGCACCACCAGGGCCGCGCCATGGTTAAGGACGCCGCCCTCGTCTGCCAGGAGCTGGTGCGGTGTGCGGTGCTGTGGACGGAGTTGTGGTTCGACGAGTTGGAGCGGGCGTGGTTTCAGTGGGGCCGCGACAAGAACGCGCACAGCGTCTTCCAGTCGCTGCAGCCGCTGCTGGAGCAGCTGTCGCATCCAGACACCTTGGCGGAGTCGCACTTCGTGGCGGAGTTCGGCGAGCTGCTCAGCGGGGCGTGCGAGTACGTCGAAAAGGCCGCCTCGACCGGCAACAACGTTTACATGGAGGAGGCGTGGAACCGCTTCAAGACGGCTGTGAAACGGATGGACGAGCAAATCAGCGGGATGGCGTCGCTGGCGTTGCAGCTGGTGAGCCCGCGCCTGACGCAGAGCGGCAAGGACTTGTCCCTTGTGGTGCCGGGGCAGTATAGCGAGAGCGGGGTATACCCTTCCATTGCCTCCTTCCAGAACACGCTCAAGGTGATGAACTCGAAGCAGCATCCGCGCCGCCTCTACATCAACGGTACGGATGGCGTCCTCTACAAATTTCTGCTCAAAGGCCACGAGGACCTACGGCTGGACGAGCGCGTCATGCAACTCCTCGCTTTTGCGAACACGCTGTTGGAGAAGCACTCCGCCATTCAGCGACGGGACTGCATGATTCAGGTCTTCTCTGTCACCCCGCTCAGCGAGAACGCCGGCTTAGTGGGCTGGGTTGACAACTGCGACACGCTGCACCAGCTGATAAAGGACTACCGCGTGCACTCCAAGTACCTCTCAATCGAGGTGAACCTGATGCTGAGCTTCAACGTGGACCTCGACCGCTTGCAGGTGATCCAACACGTGGAGCCGTTTGAATTCGCGCTGGAGCAGACAGAGGGTACCGACCTCGCGAACTCGCTGTGGATGCGCGCGCCGAGTGCAGAGTCGTGGCTGGACCGGCGCACCACCTTTGTCTGCTCCCTCGCCACCATGTCGATGGTGGGCCACATCCTCGGCCTCGGCGACCGCCACCCCTCCAACCTCATGGTGCACTCCTTCAGCGGCCGCGTGGTGCACATCGACTTCGGCGATTGCTTCGATGTCGCACAGAATCGCAGCGCCTTCCCCGAGAAGGTGCCTTTCCGCCTGACACGCATGCTGGTCAAGGCGATGGAGATGGGCGGCATCGATGGGCTCTTTCGCCACGGCTGCATCACGGTGATGGGGGTGCTGCGTGAGGAGGGCAGCAGCATTTTAGCGCTGCTCGAGGCCTTCGTGCACGATCCTCTCGTCTCGTGGTGGCGCGATGAGTCGGAGGATGGGGCGACCACTGTCACCGTCCCCACGCCCGTTGCACCGAGCAGCGGCATGGCCTCCACTGACACGGCGGCGCCGCCGCTTGGCGGGCACTACTCCCAACGCGCCGCCTACACCGCCATTGGAGAGTCCTTTCACCAGTCACGCAGCGCCTTCGCGTCTCGCACACCGGTGGCGCGTTCGTTTGCGGCACGTGGCAGCCGTTCCCTTCGTGCCCCCCGCGCCTCCGTTGCCGCGAGCACCCCGGCGGCCGACCCGGTGAGCGCCAGCGCTAAGTCATCCGAGATTGTGAGCAACATGTCGGCGAACCAGACCAGTGAGGCGAAGAAGGTGGTGAACCGCATTCGGGAGAAGTTGGAGGGCCGCGAGTTCGCCAGACGCTGCGCGACGCTGGGCGGGACGATGCACACCGCGGGAGGGTTGGGCAACACGAAAGAGGACGGTTCGGTAGAGGATCCGTTCTCTGCCGCGGAGTCGGACGGGGCCACGCCCATTGGGAGCTCTGACGATGGACTCTCCGTGCAAGCGCAGGTGTCACAGCTGATTCTCGAGGCCACCTCTAACGAGAATCTGTGTGTGCACTTCCAGGGGTGGTGTCCCTTCTGGTAAAGGGATCAGGACCAGGCGCCGCTGTCTGTTCCCTCATGCGCGCTCTCCCTCCCTTTTTTTTTTTTTGATTCACCTGAGGGCGCCATGAAGTGCTTTCGTTTCGCATATAAGTGGCATGTGCGCGTGTGAAGAGGGCCTGTTACGGCGCTGGCTACGGAATTGTTTTTCCCTTCGTCTTTTATTATTATTGGAATGGCGAGTGTTTTGATGCATGCGCGGTCGCAGGGCCGCAGCTTTTTGCAGCTTCTCTCATAACCAGTAGTTAAAACAGGCAGAGAAAATGCAGGAGTTAATTACAGATATATACAAGACGTCGGTTTCCTTCCTTTCCACACTACAATAGATGAACGCTGTTAAGGAAATTTCGGCGGCGAGAAACAAAAGAAATACTGAAGGAAGATGCGGCAAATTCCGCACCTAACATTCAATGTGTGACCATTTTGGTGCGTAGGAGGCGTTTTTTTTCAAAGTATGAAACGTACTTGTCTCGCTTTTGTGTTCCCACGCTTTCCTTCTTCGTCGAACACATCCCTTCATTTTTTATTTTCCTTGTACTTATCGATCAGCTCTTTACCGTGGAGGTGCCGTAAGACCTCTTTCTCCACCGATCACGCTGGTTTCGGCTTTCAGAAACACATACTTTAAGGAAAAACTCTTTTAATCCAGTCGCGTGCTTCTTCGGCACCTAACGCAAGAAAAGTTAATAATCATGGAGTCCTTCTTGTCGAATCCGAAAAACGTCGTTGTCTTGGACGGCGGCCTCGCCACCGAGCTGGAGAAAGGCGGCTGCGACCTGTCCGATCCTTTGTGGTCGGGCAAGGTGCTCCTCGAGACGCCGCGCCTCATTCAGGAAGTGGAGGAGTCTTACCTGGAGGCCGGCGCACGCTGCATTATCACCGCCAGCTATCAAGTCACACCTCAGAGCCTCATGGAGCACCGCCACCTCGCCGAGCCAGTTGCCGTCGCTTCCATCGAGGAGTCGGTCCGCATTGCGCAGCGGGCACGCGAGCAGTACCTGCAGCGTCACCCACAGGCCGGCCCGATCTTCATCGCGGGCTCTGTCGGCCCTTACGGCGCCTACCTCTCCGACGGCTCTGAGTACCGCGGAGACTACGTGCGAACAGCAGAGCAGTTTAAGGACTTTCATCGCTCTCGTATCGCGGCGCTGGTCCGTGCGGGCGCGGATGTGTTGGCCATCGAAACCCAGCCCAATGCGGCGGAGGTGCGTGCCATTATCTCGCTGCTGCAGGAGGAGCATCCGTCGAGTCGTGCCTGGGTGTCCTTCACGACTTCACGCACCTCACCGGCGGAGGCGATTAGCGACGGCACCCGGTGGACAGACATCGTTCCGATGCTAGAGGCTGCCCCGCAGATCATCGCCACGGGCGTGAACTGCATCCCGATGGCAGAGGCGTCTGCTGCGCTGGCGCACCTGCACACGCTGACGCGTCTACCATTGGTTGTCTACACCAACTCCGGCGAGACCTTCGACGCTGCTACGAAGTCATGGCTCCCTATCACCGTGTGCGATGGCACTTCGCTCAGTCTGCAGGCCCTGGCGACGGAGTGGGCAGGCCACGGTGCTCGTCTGATCGGTGGCTGCTGCCGTACAGGACCGGCTGATATCGCAGGCACCGCGTCTGCCTTGAGGAAAGCAGGCTACACGGCATCAAACACCAACACTAAAGAGAAATGAAATCTCCTTGGTCATACCTGCAGCAACAGGCTCCACCTTCCCTTCTACGCAAAAGAGATGCCGTTTTTGTTGTTGTAAATACCACACAGGGTCGACCCACTCACACCAGGCAAACAAGAGCTACACATATTGTACACACGCATGAAACGGGCTGAAGCATGATGTGTGCACCCGACGATCAAGAAACCGCTATTACGTATTCTTTGTATATCACGGCTGCCTTCACGCGAAAGTCTTTGGCGTACCTTTTCTTTGTCCTCCGCTTGCGCGCGAGGGTGTTCGAGGGCGACCCGCAGCGCGTTGTCTGTCCGTGCTTTGGCACTTGGGCCGGCGCACGTCCTTCCAAGGGGACGGCACTTTCCGTTTCACTACTCCTCTTTTCTTTCACCTCGTTCAATCTTCGCCTTTCTGCCGTCTTGGTGCCACTCTACCGAACCCCCGCACAGTAAAACCGTAACTAAGCCGCAATCTCTCCAGCTATCAAAGTACTAGAAGACAGAGCAAAACCGACACGAAGCGACTGTCTCTTCTTCAAAACACCCCTTTCGTTTTCACGCGTTTCTGTTCCATTTTCCTGAACGTCATTGAGCGAATCCGCCAGTCATCATGAGCGCTCAGCAGGCCGCATCCAACGAGCCCCGCTCGGACTCGATGTCCGAGAGGGAGAAGGAGGTTGCGCAGGACGACGTTGACAAGAAACCGCAGGAGAACCCCGTCGAGGACGATGCGTCGATGTTGTCTGCGGGCAACCTTCGCGTGTGCGTTGTGCAGGCGATCGGCGGCACCCTGAACGGCTACAGCATCGGCTTCGTCGGCGTGTACTCTACCCTGTACGGGTACAGCACGAACTGCGCCAACTACCGCTTCGAGTCCGGGTGCTCGACGGTGCCGAACGCGAACTGCAAGTGGTTCCCCCCCTCAGGCACCGCCGCCGGGTACTGCGGATGGGTGGATGGCACGTGCAGCAAGCTGTACCCCAATGAGGACAACGGCGGTACGAGCGACAACGATGCGATTGTGAATTGCAACGGTGACAGTAGCCGGTGCGCGTGGTCGTACAGCGCTGGTGAGTGCCAGAACCCCTCCGGCTACTCGTCGTCTGACAACGGTATCTTTGCCGGCGCGATGATTGCGGGTTGCCTGATCGGCTCCGTCTTCGCTGGTCCGCTGGCCACTGCCATCGGCGCAAAGATCTCGTTCCTCCTCGTAGGTATCGTGGGTATTGTGAGCTCCGTGATGTACCACGTGTCGTGCGCCGAGGACGAGTTCTGGGTGCTGATTGTCGGACGCTTCGTCATCGGTCTGTTTCTGGGTGTTGTCGGTGTTGCGTGCCCCATGTACACCGACCAGAACGCCCACCCGCGGTGGAAGCGCACCATCGGCTGCCTGTTCCAGGTGTTCACGACGTTCGGTATCTTCATGGCTTCCATGATGGGTCTTGCCCTCGGCCAGAGTATCTACTTTGACCACGACCGCGACCAGAAGACGATGGCGCGCATGCAGGGTCTGTGCGCGGTCTCCACCATGTTCAGCATCGTCATGATCGGCCTCGGTGTCATCGTGAACGACTCCCGCGCCAAGTTCGACGGTGGCGACGACAAGAACGCGATTGAGCTCGACGCCAACGAGTACGGCTACGTGGAGATGATCCCGCGTCTGGTGATGGGCACTGTGATGGCCGGCACGCTGCAGCTGACCGGTATCAACGCCGTGATGAACTACGCGCCGACGATTATGGGCAGCCTTGGCCTTGCCCCGCTTGTCGGCAACTTCTACGTGATGGTGTGGAACTTCGTGACGACGATCATTTCGATTCCGCTGTCGTACGTGTTCACGATGCGCCAGCTGTTCCTGTTCGGCTCCATCTTCACGTCGTGCATGTGCATGTTCATGTGCGGTATTCCGGTGTACCCTGGTGTGTCGTCGAGGGACGCGAAGGACGGCGTTGCCATCACTGGAATCATCCTGTTCATTCTCGGTTTCGAGGTGTGTGTCGGTCCGTGCTACTACGTGCTGACGCAGGATATGTTCCCGCCGTCATTCCGCCCGCGCGGTGCGTCGTTCACGCAGGTGATGCAGTTCATCTTCAACCTGATCATCAATGTGTGCTACCCGATTGCGACGGAGCGCATTTCCGGCGGCAAGTCCGGCAACCAGGACAAGGGCCAGGCTATCGCGTTCATCTTCTTCGGCGGTCTCGGCATCATCTGCTTCATCGTCCAGGTCTTCTTCCTGCACCCGTGGGACGAGGCGAAGGACGGCAAGAAGGACATGTCTCCGGATCAGCGCCGTGGTGAGGCGGAGCTCGCTCAGTAACTGCGGAGGAACGGCATGTGATGGGATGTCGGCACTGCGGCCGCGATAATGCTTTTAGTGTTTCCCGTCCGCTTTTGTACTGTTACTTTCTGAAGCCGCTTTCTTTTATTATACTTCACATTTCTCAGGTACGCACCATTAACATTCCAGTAGCAGTAAGTGACTGTTTTGTATTTCATTTTAAAAGCTTTTACATCAAAAATCAAAAGTTCGTGGTGGCGGCGCCGAGCAGCTGGATGGTTGCCCTCTTGCTTTCTTTCGCGTTGAGTTTGAGTAGGGGGGGGGGGGAGGGGCGCTACTCCGCCGTTGAGGCTGTGAAGCATGTGTGGGTGCGTGTGCGCGTATTGGATGGACGAAACTGCACGGATGTGCACGGCTCGTCTTTCTTTTTTCTTTCACCACCGCCGCACTTGTGATTGTCCCGATACCTTTACGTTCCGCAACGGTTCTGAGCCCCACCAGCTCCTCGTGCGCACCCCATCACACCCAAAAGTAAGCATTATTTGCCCAACGGTAAAGGATGGTCGGAGGAAGAGGCGTTTTATAGTTTGTGAGGGAGTGATAAACTCCAGGCATTTCTTGCTTTGACTGATTTCTCATTTCACCCTCACTTTTGTTTTTGCTGTGTTGCTCATTAACACTACTCCGTACCAGATTGCCGAGGCTTTAAACATTAACAATAGAAAAGACGTTGAAAAGTTTCCCTTTCTCCTCTGTTCTATAATTCAAAGACGTTTTTATTTATTTCTGATTTGCCAATTTTTCTTCTCTCGTGTTTTACGCCTTAAAAAAGAAATATGAGTTATCTTTTCTTTTTCTGCTCTGATTTCTTCTTTCATGGCAGTTCGAGCGTCATGGCGTTCGTTAAGGACTACCAGTAGAATTAAATTTTGGAGCGTGTGCTTTCTGTGTTTTCCTCTTTAACTGTGTGGTGGTAGTGGTGGTTGCGAGCAACGATCAACGGGTGCACGACCCAACACTGCCGTCACCTCGTGCACGAACAAGGCGTTCCCAGATTTCAGAGGATGCTGCTACACAGGCGAATACCTCGCAATTTCCGCTTTGTGTGTAGTGAAGAGGTTACATGTACATTTTTTTTTCTGCTTCCTTCCGTGTCACCGAAGGACTATGAAGTTGAGAGGAAAACACACTAGCTTTTTTTCCCGAAAGAACTCAAAACACTTCTTTTTCTCTATGTTCCCCTTTTTCTGTTATAAACACCACGTTTTGCGTGACCTTTGACAAATGACTTGGCTTTATATATTTGACTACCTGCGGAGCACACGCGACTAGTAAAAGAGTTCACACTTAACCACTGTGAAAAGAAAGTTTGTTCTTTTTCAATTGTTTGGTTCATTTAGGTGGCTCTTTCCTCTTGAATTAAGGCACAAAGTCCGTGAGTTCCACTTGTAAGTACGTAAAACACACAAAAAAGCAAATGTGGTTTCTGGGAACGTTTTCAAGATTCACGCGATTTACTTGACAGACGCGCAACAGGAGCTGCACCCGAGAGATGCTTCGCTTTCAGACACTTTTATTGCGGTTCCGGCGCACTGTGCTTACAAGCCTTTTACAGCCACTGGACGCCTCTGCTGCCCACGATTGGTTTGGCACTATGAGAGCCTTCGCGCGAAAGTCTTTGGCGTACCTTTTCTTTGTCCTCCGCTTGCGCGCGAGGGTGTTCGAGGGCGACCCGCAGCGCGTTGTCTGTCCGTGCTTTGGCACTTGGGCCGGCGCACGTCCTTCCAAGGGGACGGCACTTTCCGTTTCACTACTCCTCTTTTCTTTCACCTCGTTCAATCTTCGCCTTTCTGCCGTCTTGGTGCCACTCTACCGAACCCCCGCACAGTAAAACCGTAACTAAGCCGCAATCTCTCCAGCTATCAAAGTACTAGAAGACAGAGCAAAACCGACACGAAGCGACTGTCTCTTCTTCAAAACACCCCTTTCGTTTTCACGCGTTTCTGTTCCATTTTCCTGAACGTCATTGAGCGAATCCGCCAGTCATCATGAGCGCTCAGCAGGCCGCATCCAACGAGCCCCGCTCGGACTCGATGTCCGAGAGGGAGAAGGAGGTTGCGCAGGACGACGTTGACAAGAAACCGCAGGAGAACCCCGTCGAGGACGATGCGTCGATGTTGTCTGCGGGCAACCTTCGCGTGTGCGTTGTGCAGGCGATCGGCGGCACCCTGAACGGCTACAGCATCGGCTTCGTCGGCGTGTACTCTACCCTGTACGGGTACAGCACGAACTGCGCCAACTACCGCTTCGAGTCCGGGTGCTCGACGGTGCCGAACGCGAACTGCAAGTGGTTCCCCCCCTCAGGCACCGCCGCCGGGTACTGCGGATGGGTGGATGGCACGTGCAGCAAGCTGTACCCCAATGAGGACAACGGCGGTACGAGCGACAACGATGCGATTGTGAATTGCAACGGTGACAGTAGCCGGTGCGCGTGGTCGTACAGCGCTGGTGAGTGCCAGAACCCCTCCGGCTACTCGTCGTCTGACAACGGTATCTTTGCCGGCGCGATGATTGCGGGTTGCCTGATCGGCTCCGTCTTCGCTGGTCCGCTGGCCACTGCCATCGGCGCAAAGATCTCGTTCCTCCTCGTAGGTATCGTGGGTATTGTGAGCTCCGTGATGTACCACGTGTCGTGCGCCGAGGACGAGTTCTGGGTGCTGATTGTCGGACGCTTCGTCATCGGTCTGTTTCTGGGTGTTGTCGGTGTTGCGTGCCCCATGTACACCGACCAGAACGCCCACCCGCGGTGGAAGCGCACCATCGGCTGCCTGTTCCAGGTGTTCACGACGTTCGGTATCTTCATGGCTTCCATGATGGGTCTTGCCCTCGGCCAGAGTATCTACTTTGACCACGACCGCGACCAGAAGACGATGGCGCGCATGCAGGGTCTGTGCGCGGTCTCCACCATGTTCAGCATCGTCATGATCGGCCTCGGTGTCATCGTGAACGACTCCCGCGCCAAGTTCGACGGTGGCGACGACAAGAACGCGATTGAGCTCGACGCCAACGAGTACGGCTACGTGGAGATGATCCCGCGTCTGGTGATGGGCACTGTGATGGCCGGCACGCTGCAGCTGACCGGTATCAACGCCGTGATGAACTACGCGCCGACGATTATGGGCAGCCTTGGCCTTGCCCCGCTTGTCGGCAACTTCTACGTGATGGTGTGGAACTTCGTGACGACGATCATTTCGATTCCGCTGTCGTACGTGTTCACGATGCGCCAGCTGTTCCTGTTCGGCTCCATCTTCACGTCGTGCATGTGCATGTTCATGTGCGGTATTCCGGTGTACCCTGGTGTGTCGTCGAGGGACGCGAAGGACGGCGTTGCCATCACTGGAATCATCCTGTTCATTCTCGGTTTCGAGGTGTGTGTCGGTCCGTGCTACTACGTGCTGACGCAGGATATGTTCCCGCCGTCATTCCGCCCGCGCGGTGCGTCGTTCACGCAGGTGATGCAGTTCATCTTCAACCTGATCATCAATGTGTGCTACCCGATTGCGACGGAGCGCATTTCCGGCGGCAAGTCCGGCAACCAGGACAAGGGCCAGGCTATCGCGTTCATCTTCTTCGGCGGTCTCGGCATCATCTGCTTCATCGTCCAGGTCTTCTTCCTGCACCCGTGGGACGAGGCGAAGGACGGCAAGAAGGACATGTCTCCGGATCAGCGCCGTGGTGAGGCGGAGCTCGCTCAGTAACTGCGGAGGAACGGCATGTGATGGGATGTCGGCACTGCGGCCGCGATAATGCTTTTAGTGTTTCCCGTCCGCTTTTGTACTGTTACTTTCTGAAGCCGCTTTCTTTTATTATACTTCACATTTCTCAGGTACGCACCATTAACATTCCAGTAGCAGTAAGTGACTGTTTTGTATTTCATTTTAAAAGCTTTTACATCAAAAATCAAAAGTTCGTGGTGGCGGCGCCGAGCAGCTGGATGGTTGCCCTCTTGCTTTCTTTCGCGTTGAGTTTGAGTAGGGGGGGGGGGGAGGGGCGCTACTCCGCCGTTGAGGCTGTGAAGCATGTGTGGGTGCGTGTGCGCGTATTGGATGGACGAAACTGCACGGATGTGCACGGCTCGTCTTTCTTTTTTCTTTCACCACCGCCGCACTTGTGATTGTCCCGATACCTTTACGTTCCGCAACGGTTCTGAGCCCCACCAGCTCCTCGTGCGCACCCCATCACACCCAAAAGTAAGCATTATGGCCACTCTAAGAGTGGCTGGACGGAAGCGGGAAACTTCTGTGCCTGACAGAGCGCTTGTGACATCAAAGATATATTCCTTTGCTTTCATTGTCGCTCCCTCCTGGCTTACAGCTGCATTTCCGGGTTTGTGTTCAGTCGACTCCTTGTAGCGGTTCACAGCGTTTGTTAAAGTGCTGAACTTTCTCTTCTAAACAATCAAGACGTTTTTATTTCGTTATCACCTTACTTTGTGTGGTATTGTTTTTCTCCTCTCCTTTTCGAATTCTACTTTTCCATTTTTTATTATTATTTGTCGGATGAAACTTAAGAAGTTAAAAGAATGTAAGTGTTTATTTATATAATCAAAGATGTATATGCCTTTCTTCATGTCTTCCATCGCCCGTGCCGTGGAGCCTTTGTTGTCTGGCGTCACTGCCTTGAAAGCAAATCGCTCTGCTGGTTTTTCTTGTCTTTTCGTCCTTTGCGTGTACAGTAAAAGTGTTGGAGAGTACCGTGCGATCAAAGAAGGATAAACATGGAACAAACTGGTTTCTTGGTCGTTCTTCGCATTTGAAGTGCTCCACGACTTTTACCTGGAGAATTGATCGATAGGGTGGAAGTAGTTGTGTCTGTCTCGTCTTGAACTTCAGTGAAAATGGCACATCTGTGTTTTCTTTCCCGCTTCCTTTAGCATTCATGTCAAAGGTTGTGAAGGAGCAGGCTGTACGAGTACCCTTCGCAAAGGATCTCAAAACATTTCTAAAGAGTTTTTTCTTTCTGTTAAACACTGCCCGAGAGTGTCGTATTATTTTTCCTATCTTCTTTTTTTTTTCTGTCTAAGGTAAGCGTGTGCAGGCATAAGGGGGTGATTCCTGATCTAAACTGGTAGCGTACCAATACGAAGACGTTGTCTTCACCGGTTTTCGATAAGAACCTCATTACCCCCTCCCCCTCCTCCCTTTTTTTCTCCGTTGAACACAGCCGACGCGTCTTGTCTTAAAGTCTTTTCTTCCTTTGTTTTTTGTGGTAAAGTGTACTGTCTTTTCGTTAGGATTCGAGCGCATCATTACGACAGCAGAATAGAGACTTGCATTGTGGTTAAAAAAAAAAGAAAAAGAGCAATACCAACGAAAGAGTTGTAGGATCTGAGGCGGCGAGGTGAATCATTTCTTCGACAGGCTGCGGCGATCACGAATGCCGCAACGGCTGCCGTGCGTCTCAGACGAGCGAAGTCGCGTTGCACTGTAAAGGGGGGGGGTCCCCTCGTGAAGTCCGCTTTCGCCGCTTTCTGTTTTTGTTGTGGTGTTCCTGTAAAGCCGCGTGATGGGTGCGCCTGCGACATGTAGCCCTGACTACCTCCTCTCGTGCAGCTGCATCTACACCAACGCATGACCTGTTTCGGCGGTCCTCCCGTTTCTCTTCTTGTGGCTCCCCAACTATTCTTTTTTCATCTACGCTTTTAATTCTCTCTTCTTGTGTCACACTGTCTTGGATACTTCTCGGGATTATTACAATAATTATCGCTGTTTTTAAATAGAATCTCTCACAATCAACGAACAACAACAACGCACAACTACACGGAGTTAACGAATAATACTACGAAAAGGGATCGAAGGCTCAAAAAGGCTTTTGGTTTTGTCACACTTTTCGGCGTGTGACAGGTTCTTTAGAAGACTAGCACTTTTTATATCTTACCCGCTCTTATATATTCTCGTGGCTTCGAGACTCATTCACTGTTTAACACGAGAGGAACAAGCAACACTGGCAGATCGGGCCGTTGAGTTACATCTGTTACATTATTGTTACTATTAAATATTATTACGGTTTCCTGTTTTTTTTTCCCTTTCCGTCAGGTCGTTGGCACCTGTATATTGAGGGAAAGAAGTCATACCTCGCGGAAGTCGCACTTTACGGGTGAGTCAAGATGGGCGTCGATTACTACAAGGTTCTTGGCGTCAGCCGCAACGCGAAGCCGAACGAGATTAAAAAGGCCTACCACCAACTTGCCCTCAAGTATCACCCGGACAAAAACACAGACAACCGCGAAGAGGCGGAGCGCAAGTTTAAGGAAGTGAGCGAGGCCTACGATGTGCTGATCGACGAGAAGAAAAAGAAAATCTACGATGTGTACGGCGAGGAGGGCCTAAAGGGTGGCGTCCCCGAAGATGGCGCCGGTGCCGGAGGCGCGGGCATGAACTTCGGAGGCGGGATGCCGGGCGGGATGCACGGCGCCTCCTACCACTTCTCCAACGCCGACGCCTTCAACATCTTTAATCAGTTCTTCGGTTCGTCGGACCCGTTTGCGGGCGGTGAGGCCTTCGGCGGGGGTGGCCCGGGTCTGCATCGCGTCTTCCGCGGCTACGGCGGGCCCGACGGGTTCGCCTCCGGCTTCGGCACGCCGCAGGCGTCGCCGGCCTACGATGTGCCGCCGATGGAGTACACCTTCGCCTGCACCCTCGAGGAGATTTACACGGGCTGCACCAAGAAGTTTAACGTGTCACGCAACATGCCGTCCGGCACGGAGAAGAAGACGTTTGAGGTGAAGGTGCTGCCGGGGTACAAGAAGGGCACGAAGATTCGGTTTGAGCGGGAGGGCGGCCGTGTCGAGGGCTACCCGCCGAATGTGCTGGCGGACATGGTGTTCATACTCGACGAGCGGCCACACCCCCGCTTTGAGCGCCGCAACGCGGACCTCTACACGACCCTGCACATCAACCTGAAGCAGGCGCTGCTGGGTAGCACGGTGACGGTGAAGGGCGTGGATGGCCAGTCCATCTCTCTTCCTCTGACGGGTGTGAGCAGGAACGGCCGGAAGCTGCGGGTGAGTGGGTCAGGCATGCCGGACCGCAAGACAGGCCGTCGCGGCGACCTGTACGTGACGATCGAGGTGGATATGCCGGATTCCCTCACCGAGGACACGAAGCGACTGGTGGAGAAGTGCACCTTCTAACTGGGTGTCCTCTTTCCACTGCTGATCAACAGGAAAAAGATAAGGCTGCTCTTCATCATGACCCTTTTTTTTTCTTCAGAAAAGGCTGAGAAGGAATGCTCGTCGTGGGCCGTACTCTTGAACAGGTCATACACATCTAAACCGCACTGTCCTTGCTTTACCATTTGTGCTCAAAAGGCTGTGGACCACTTTGCATTCTCTTTTTTCTCCCTTTTTACCTTCTCGCATGACAGCTCCCCATTTTTTCTTGTGTTGTTGTGCTTGTGTGTGCAAGAACACGGCCACCATTGCGACGCAGCACCAAATGGTCAACCCATGCGTTTTTGATGTGTTTCTGTGTCCAGGTCTTTGTTTGCCGCGCCAGTGGCACGTTCTCTTTTCTTCATCATATATAACTCTCGTTTTACCCCTTTTCACCGTGTGGATCGTTTAGTATTATTATTTTTCCCCTTTCCCTCTTTCGGGCACGTTTGTTGTAAGAAACGTCGCTGTTGCCTTCGTTGTTCGCTCGCTTCACGTACATGCATCGAAAAGTGTGCGCCGCCCATCGCTGATGAAGCGACAACGACATGCTCGCGAATACGCAAGCAAACGTTCAGCCACCACAACCGCCGCAACAACACGCAAGGAAGACAAGAAAAAGGTACGACACTTTTCCGACCAGCAACAGAAGGCAAGCTCGTCATTTTTCCATTTTCCATCGCTTCGAACGGCCCACTGAGGATATGAAAATTTAAAGGCACAAGTACTGGTTGCGTTGGAGGCGAAGCTTATCCGTTAAAGTGGGAAACTGCTTCGCACGAGCGGAAAGCGAATTGCAGTGAAAGTTTTTTTCATGATGGGACGGTCTCTCACGCCGGCAAACCACAACATGAAAAGAATAGCGTTTTATTCCCTCATGCAATTTGTACACTCTACTCTCTTTTTGAAATTTCAACTGCCACCTCCTTGTATTCACTTGCGTCTTCATCTCATGCGTTGTGGTTTCCCTTCGTTCACTGTTATGGGGGTGGGTGGGTGAACGAATACGTTTCTACCTGCAAAAATTGCACGCACAATAAAAAAACCACCACTCCAACGATGACCCCAAAGATGCAGTAGAAAGGAAGGTCACGCGAAAAAATTTGCCCCCCCCCCCATAAGTTGTAAGCTCTCTCCCATTTGAGATATTTTGGTATATATATATCGCCGTCTGGACCCTTTGTTTTTTTCGCATCAAACTTCCCTTCATCTTCGTATGTGAGCGCGTGAAGATGTTGGACAACACCGATGAGAGCATTAAAGTAATTGTGGTAGGAGACGGCAACGTTGGCAAAACATGTATGCTGCGCCGTTTTGTGAAGGGCGACTTCATTGCGCAGTACCGCAAAACGATCGGCGCAGAGTTTATGGAGAAGGATGTCTACATACGTTCTTCGGACACCACCGTGAAGCTAATGTTGTGGGACACGGCGGGGCAAGAGGTGTTTAATGCGCTTACACAGGCCTACTACCGCGGCGCCGGTGCCGCCGTACTGACCTTCAGCACGGTAGATCGCGATAGCTTCATGAACATTGCGGGGTGGAAGCAGCGAGTGGAGTCGGTCTGCGGCCCCATCACGATGGTGCTGTGCCAGACAAAGTTTGACCTTTCCCATGAGGCGGTCATTACAAACGAGGAGGCCGAGCAGCTCGCTAGCCAGCTGGAGGTGCCGCTTTTTCGCGTCTCCACAAAGGACGACTTTAACGTGACACAGCTGTTCGAGTTTACGGCGCAGCAATGCATGGAGGGCGCAGCAGCTGCGGCGGCGGCAGCAAACGGAGAAAGAAAGACCGAAGACGGTGGTTCCCGCGTAGAGGGTGAGCGCCGACAGTCAAGTGGTGGCGTCGAAGGGGAGCCAACGGCGGGCACCGAAAGGTTAGGGAAATCGTCGGCCGCGCCAGGTGCCGGCGGCGCGCCTTCCCCTCCTTTGGCAGGGGCCTCGACGGACGCCGGTGCAGAGGCACCTAGCGCGTCCCCCGTTGCCGATCCGTTCATACCTGCCGCTGCAGGAAGGGCTGGCAAGGGCGCGACGGCACCCACCGCTGCTGGCGTCAAATCGCAATCGAGCGGCGGAAAAAGTAAATCTTCTCCCCCACCAAAGAATAAGGTAACCCTGAAAGAACCAGAAGCGCGCGAGCACCACCACAAGAAAAAGTTCAGGTGCTCCCTGTATTGACGCAAAACCGCGTTCGCAGACACGGTGTTTTGATGAATAAAAAACATGTTAATACTGAATGGGCTGCTGTTTCATGTTCGTAACGCTGCCTACTTCGCCGCTATCCGTTTCGAACCGTTTTCCTGTCGCGCTTCTGGTTCTCAAGTGGACTGTTTCTAACACGCCTTCCCCGTTTTGATATCAATTTTTGCTTTTGTCCCACCCAACAGTCAAGCACGTCTTTTGTCTTTTTCTTTCAGCGTCATTTGTAAGAAATGCTCTCCGGCGCTGCATCCCCCCAGTTTTCTTTCCCTCTTGGTGCACCGATTCACAACTTCTCGTCCTTTTGGACCCACAAAACACTGAAGCGTCATTGAGTCCGCGAGTTTGCTGTTCTTTTCTTGGCTCTCCCTCGATGCGACACTCATTGCGTTGTGGTGTGCATTCGGAGCCGTGAGAGCCAAAGCAAACTGTTCTTTCTCTCCAAAAAGGAAAACAATAACATCAATACTCAGTTTCGCCACATTATCAAAAGTTACTTCACCACTCAGCGACGCGTCTGAGGCGTTTGCTAGTCGTTTTTCCCCCCCTCTGTTGTGCTTGCCGCTGAAGTGTCAAAAGGAAAGGGATACGCAAAAAAAAAAAGCCGAATTAAAACGAAGAGGTCGTTCCCCCAAAAGAAAAAAAAAACACATATCCGCAAAAGTAAGTGAAAAGAGAATCACTGCTTTACAGGTTCGACTTTTTTTGTTTCCTCCTTTCGTTGCTGCTTCTTGTTTTCTGCGCTGTAGCGCAGCTAGTGACGCCTTTATTCTAAAAAAGAAAAATAGAAAACGCTATTAACAATAAAATGTAACTTTTTGGTTCAAAACTTAAAAACGTGTCTTTTACGCAGCTCACATTTTCGTTCGTTTTCACGTTTTTCTCGTCGACAAGGATTTCCTGTTTTTTCCATTTTGTGTTGTTTACCTCTCGGCATTTCCGTTTTATGGAAATTAGGTTGTAACATTTCCACCCCCTTTTTATTGGGTTTGCTGCGTTCGTACGTCTGTAATTTCACGACCCTCCTTCTGATTGCGAGAAGTTCTCCTTTTTTTTTCTAAAATGGCGAACGCGAGATGTGTGTGTGTGTGGGTGTTCGTGTGTCCATTTTCGACTGCGAGCTGTTATTCTTAACCGTGGGTTTTTTTTTTGCGTCTACTTGTATTTTCTTTGTTGTTTGCATATCCATCAATACCCACTGCATCTTTGCAACTCGTACACGTTCTGTGCACACAAACACACCCATACACACCAAGAAAGAGATAATTTCCTTACTCTCATCAGCGGCACGTTCTACACAGTGAGCGAAGCGGTGCCAGAGCCCGTTGAATGTTCTCGCTGAGTTTTGCCGCTTTGTCGCCGGCGGCAGAACATTGTGCGAACCTCCATGAGAAAAGAACGAAGTTCCAACAGAACTTGTGTTGCGCACTTGCTCCGAATACACCAGGGCGTTTGGATGCCTTTCTTCTTCTCACTCTCTCTCCTGCTGCTCACTTGGAAACTGCTTTGTTGTCTTTCTCTCCTACGCCTCTTGTTCACCACCTCCTATTCATAACAAGCTCTGTCAGAAACGCTGAGGGAGAGAGCGAGAGGAAGCGAGAGGCAGAGTGGGCTCACTGAAAACGAGACCCCAGTGCGCTGCTAAAAGCGCCTTTCTGTCACTTCACCTTTTTTTTTTCTTTCTGCCATGTCGTTTATGGGCTATGTCCAATCGTTGTGGGGCCCCTCCGCTGCCTCGGCGTCCTCTTCCTCGAGCGGAGGTGGTGGCCTCTTTTCGTCCCCCGCTGTGTCGTCTTCGGCGGTACGCAGCAGCAGCTGCAGCGGTGGCTCGGCCCAGTACATCGGCAGCGGTGTGTGGCCCCTGTCTCCTCAGGTGCGGGAGGAGATGAAAAAAGGGACGCGGTACAACATGAAGGTGCTTCTCCGCGGCACCAAAGGCACGGGCAAAAGCACCCTGCTGGCTCGTCTGACCGGGCACCCCCTGCCCCTCTCCTACACGCCTTCCACCGAGTTGATCGCCTCCACGATGCGGCTGCAAGGCGAGCACTGCGCCCCGCACGAGGGCACCAAAGTCGATATTTGGGAGGTAGTGGAGGAGGGCCGGCAGCGGTCGGCGTCATCGTCGTCGCCCAACGCGACGGCGAAGGCGGCACACCACATCCCATCAGCGCAGCTGCAGGAGGCACTGCGGATGGCGGCAGACACCCGCTTACTGGATGTGTATGCCGGTGCTCACCTCACCATCTTCATGATCGATCCGCGCCAGCGCGCTTCGTGGGAGTACGCGAAGCAGGAGACACTGCACGTGCCGCCGACCTGCTGCGTCCTCTACGCCCTCAACTTCTCGGACGCGACAAGCGCAGCGATTACCGCGAACGTGCCGTTGGCGGAGGTGCAGGCGTGGCGTGGTCGTGTCCGGCGGGCCACCACCAGTGTGGTCCATCGCATGCTGGAGGGTCGGCAGGCCTCCGAGGAGTTCTCCGTGCAGCCCATGACGGCGGTGCTGAGCGCACTCTCAGGGGCGGGCATTATGGGTGTCATCCGCGCACTTCACGTGGCGAGCACATTGCTGCGCATCGCGACGGAGGAGGTGCGCGTTGTGCGTCTGTTTCAGCTTTTGGCGCGGCAACAGTCCGTCTCGATCGACAACGCTGCACCGCAGCCAAATCCCACACCAACACTAGCGCCAACAGGGGGCGCCGGGGCGGGTGAGCAACAGACAACAAGCGCGGACGATGTTTCCGTGAAGCAATCCACTGGAGATCCTCGTCAGTTAAGTACCCACAGTGGCTTTAACCAGCCCGGTGGCCACCCACCCGCAGCTCTTCAGCTGCCACCGGGAGTCGACGGTACGACTGCCCTTCGTATGGAGCACCGCGGCACGTCGTCGTCATCGGTGGTGTTGGGCGACCCGCCTCCGCTTTTAGACTCGCACTCCAACGGAGCCTCCCTGCGTCCGCTGACGGAAGCGGAAGCCATGAAGCTTTTTCTAGGCAGCGGCAGCAGCGGCGAGTCGAACGGCTCTGGTCGTTCCTCTTCCTCCTCTTCCTCTTCTTTTACCGCTGGGCCTTCTTCTCATGGCGGCGCAGGGACACCGCACACGCCCCGGGGCGTAGTCAGTGCCCGTCA